AGTTTTGCAAGTTAAATTCTTTGTTTGCAGGCTACGATATCTGCAGAGGGACGATCACCTCCAAGAATAGGGAATTTGGGTCACATGACACGCATTGCAAACAAGCTTATTCAATTGGGAAACAACAACAGCTTAATCCAGACACACTTGCAGGTTAATTAGCTATTGTAATTTCTTTTGAAAATAGCTTGTAAAGGAACCTACATCATTGTTGTTCAATGCAATTAATGGAAGTTATCTGGTGAAAAATTTGTTTGATTTGGAATTTAAGAGTCTAAGTCACCATTTGCAATTTCTTTAGTGTAAAATGTCTGGTATTTGGACAGTCATGTTTCAATTGGTATGTCAAAATGTGCCAACGGTCTACAGTTTTACATGTTATAGAATGAAGCATCAAGATATCCAAGGGAATTTTTTAAAAATAAAAAGTACATATGGACTCTTCTAAATTACTTGCCCTTTATGATTGGATGCTTTTGCTATCTTAAGTTGTTAGACATCTGGTGCTTGCAATGTTATGGCATTCCTCTTATTTTTCTGCAGACTATGGTTCAGTAAGAAGCATGAAGCTTGTAATTTAACTGATCTTCTATTTGCCATTCTTTCCAAAAACTTGATTCTAATTTCTAATGGTCTTTTACTTGCAGGAAAATAGTGACTGGGTTGGTTGGCATAGCAATGTACTCTTAAAGCGGAATGCGATAGAAAATGTTCACCAGTGGACTTGCGGGTAGGTTACTTCAGGGTATTTTGATCACACCAGGATGCTTGATATTCATTTTTACCTGTAGTTATTGTGTTAATTCCAGATTACAACCTAATAAATCTATCTATAATGCGTGCGAGATCTTCCAAATATACTCTTCCCGCGTGGCGGTTGTAATTCTCCAAATAGAAATCTTGGATGCAGATGGAATTTTTTGTTGTTTTCGAGGACATCTTGGATATTTTAGGGTGCTATGAGCTCTCTTAGTGGTTTTTGCATAATATGTTATCTTTAACGTCCATGTACTATCAATATTAAAATTCAAACATAGAGATATCTTTTTTCTTGTTTATTTTGTTTTGGCAGTCGGGTGCTGATGTTCTTGAGTATTTATACATAGGATTATATCTTGTTAATTTTGAATTCTATCTTTCTTCTTAGGACGTTATACACTTTTGTTGCCTCGGTCATAAGTATTCACAGAAATTAAGCTGGAAGTAAGTTGAGTAATCTTCCGTTGCATGGTCCTGGCTGTTGTATATGACAAATTTAATCATTTCAATTGTTCCTTTCATCATCGTTATCTTCCAGGGTTCTGTTTGTGGTTCCCCTTAAAATATACTTAGTGATACGTCTAAATTGAAATTCTAGAGGGTTTGGAAGCTAAAGTCATTGCTGCCAATGGCAGTTCTGAAAATGTGTGCATCTTTTACTTAAAATCCTAGTCACTGTTGAAGTCCCAATAAAGCAAAACTATGGTTCATTATGGTAATCAGATCATAACTTTATTTGAGAGTATTTTATTCTAAGATGACTACTATGATTGCTTGGCACTTGCTAATTCTCTGACCATAGATGTATAAGCTTTGTTTTTTCCTGTATAAAAAACAATTCGGAAGGAAGTATTCTTGTGAATGTGTATTTGCCGAAAACTATAGTACTTTGATTTTTGTGTCAGTACTATCTCATTTGCAGTCACATATATCTTTTTATTTTTTAAATTTTCCAAAGAAACTGGCAAATGTTCACAATATAGAAAATTTGTACAACTCACGTGATTGACTACCTAAGGCAATTGATCTGAGTACATCTAGATACAGCTAGTTAGTGCATTAGAGCTTAATTAATATCCTCTGTTGCTTGTTTGGGTAAGATTCTTTTAACACATGGTTTATGCTAATCAATTGGTTGCTCTTGCTCAACAGTCCAGTTAAGTATCTGATCTGTAACAATATAGCCATGGATTTCAGGAGCCACTCCCATTTTTGTGCTGAACTGAATTACCTAGTCAAAGCTTTCTACTTGTACAAATTTGAAACCTTGTAAAATTATGACCATTTTAAGATTCATAATTTCATACTGTACCGGAGTATCGAGCTCAGCTCGGTATGGTATGGTACAATACTAGTATACCGAGCGATATGCTCTGGCATACCGCTCTCTCTCTCTATAATAATAATAATATAAAAAGGGCAACGTCGTCTCGTTTCTTCTCCCTCTCGTGGAGAGAAGAAACCTCGTTTTCTTCTCCCCATGACTTCTCCTCACATGGATGAGAAGTTGTCGACGACGCCGAGGTGTCGTCACCTTAGATGAGGAGGCGACATCTCATCTGCGGTGTCTGGCGAGGGAGGGTGGCGACGAATCGGGATTGTCGAGGGAGAGCGGCATCGGATCTCTAGGTTCTCCTTTTTCTTCTCTCTTCTTCTTCCTTCTCCCTCGGCTAATACCATCCCGTAGGGGGTGGCAACGGTTGAAATCGATTGTCATCGACCGATTTCGCGTGGTAACGGGGCAGAAACAGCCCCAGTCGACGGTACCACCCGGTTGCGGGCGGTCCGCATACCGGTCTGTTGGCGGACCGATACGTACTGCCTGGTACGAGCGGTATCATTCGAAATTAAAAATCCAGCACCATATACAGTCTCTTTGGATATTCTATGAATGAACTAAGCTTGATCTTTTTATTTTGTCAGACGCCCAACTACTCTACAAGAACCAGCTAGGGATAGTGATGATGAGGACTTCCGAGATAAGGATTTTGATGTGGCAGCACTGGCTAGTAATTTGAGCCAGGCATTTCGATGTGGGATCTACACTAATGATGACATTGAAGAGGTAAATATCAGAACACATCGTAAATGATTTTCATTCTTAAATACTGCTTTTTGCATCTTTGCTTGTTGGGTTCTGTGTATGAATCATTTATTTTCAGACTGTTTGGAATATGCTTTGATGGAATTGATATCTTTGAATTCTAGATTCTCTGCATTTCACATCAGCCTAATGGTATTGGTATTAGGGAAGGGTGTGCAAGAATTCCTTACCGTGACATGCCCCCCTGCCAAGGCAGGACGGCAATTGTATTAAGTTGTTTCTCACTGTTACTGCAATAGTCTACTAATGATAAAGAAGCTTTGTTTGCAGTGTTGTATGTATATATGTTTATCAGGATTTATTGACTGTTATTTTGTTCATGTCTTTGGCTGTCGATGCAGGCTCAAGTATCTTTTGAACGAGATGATGAGGTATGATACTATGATAACTGTTTTTTGTTGCTTTACATCCTGCTCTTGTTACTAATTTTGGATAGGTTACCTCATGATAGAATGAGATTCTGTTGGGTAGTGATTCCTTGTGGGATCTGTATGTATATGCACATTGTCATAGTACTCAAACAGTCTTTCGGTTTTCTCCTCTTTTTTTTAAAATCTAATACGGTGATTGCATGAAGGTTTCTTCTGTTCATTTTCTACTATCTTGTTTTATGTTTTACAATCTAAATATGCATTGATTGGGACACTGAACTTTTAGATGCTCTTCAATGATCTAGTTGAATTTGTTTCTCAATGTACCCAAGGCAAACCATTTAGATAACAGGAAGTGATTTTTTGCAGGATGTTTACTTCGATGATGAATCTGCAGAAGTTGTTATTTCATCTTTGCGTCTGGGGGATGACCAGGACAGGTAGTAGTTGTAAATGGATAAACATATCAGATATGCTCACTAATCCTTTGTTTGATTGGAATGTGTTAACTATATAGGCTGATAAAGAACCTATGTCTTGTGCAGCCCCCTCTTCACAAATTCCAACTGGTTTGCTTTCGAAAATGATAGAGAGGTTGATGATCGGTTAACAAATTCTCTCGCCTCATCATCACCAAATTCGGATGAGACATCAGATGATGAGCCTGATGAGGTGGTGGTTGGTGAAAACAACAACCTGAATGACACAGCAACATCTTTGCAAGAAGTAATGGATGTAGGAACTACATCAGAAAGTAAAGCAACGGTTTTGGGAAATGGTCCTGCTAACGAGCCCAAAGAAGGCATTGGTAACTCGAGTATAAGCGAGGGTGAGCAGTCACCGGGGTGGGTTGAATGGAGGGAGACATCAGAACCCAAAGTGGCTGCAGATATTTTGAACGGCAACAGTGGAACTGACAAAAAAATGGATGAAGTTGCACTAGATGCAGATGAGTGTGGGTCTCTGCTTGGAGGTGCAGCAATTGACAGACGAAGTGGTGATGCGGGAGGACCGACCAATCTTCTTGTTGAAGATCCATCAGACACTGCTAAAGACAGTCTACTTGGTGGGGGGGATTCGTCAGGATCACCTAAAGTAAGTAACGAGTCAAGCTTGGAGCCACCTGGGAGTGAAGCTGCAGCTGAGAATCCACAACATGAGAAGGATGTTGACCCAGGGAGGTGAAATGGAGTTGGACGGCAGTAGCCATAGAGTGGTTGTGATATGATGGGGTGGATGCCTCTGTGTGAGAGGTTGGTAACCTGCCTGCTGAGTCAGTTGCTGTAGCTTAAGAGCCATTGTACATGTTTTTTTGGAGTAGGGGCTATTTCATTGAGGGGCAGATATATGTTATTTGTTCCGCCATCCACTGTTAACCAAACCTGGCAATGTACTAACGACGGCCCCCTCATCTGTCATAAGAAAGCTCTTGGGAGTTTATCTCGATGCCCAGCCCCTTCCCATCTGTTTTTCGTCTGATTTCTTTCAAGTTGATGGGTGCCAACATCAACCTCACGGTGGTCGGTTCCCCCCCAATTTTTTTTTTTTTTTGATGTTGTTGTTGCTTTAGATCCTGCGGACACAGCTAATGTTGATTTCGTCCGAGTAATATTGTTTCCGTTGGTTTAATACAAGTCAGTCTGGAAGTGACTGCAAGTTGTTTTATTAGTAAATGGTGTTCCAGTCAGCCTAGTGGAATGGATTTTGGTTGGGATTTGGGTGGGAAGCCAACGTTCCAGAGTCGACCTAATTGAATAAATTCAACATAAAATAAAAACATATCACAATCAGCAAGCAATAAATATCGACGACACGAGGACAGGGCCACACCACATTTTCCGCACAAAATAAAACCATTTACGGAAAATGATCAAAAAACTGTGACCCTGAATGGTAAACAGATGGTAGCTTATAAAACATATGGTAAACAGATGGTAGCTTATAAAACAGATGGTAAACGACAGCTTACATGCATCCTTCACTTGGGCACACAGTCCCATCAAGTCACCATGTACCGCCTTAGGAGGAAGCCCGCTGTAACATGAAGAAGCAGCAAAATGAGTTCCCATCCGAGACATTCTTCAATGCAATCTTGTCAGCTCCTCCACTCTCTTGCAAAGCTCCTCCAATGGAACTCCCATGGAGGATGCTATCTCGTCCATCCGACTGCGGCTGAGATCAAGGAAAGACTCGATCAAGTCTCCATCCAAGAAGTTCCTGGCATCCACTGTCTTCTTTTCGTTGTTGAACGATCGCCATTGCTCATGGCTCAGGCCACCCACCCCCTTTATTACCTTCACGAGGTTGGCCTGGAGCTTCTCAAGGAACACATATTGGTCATGAGGAAGGGACGCTACCACCCCAATGACACCATTGATAGTGCCAAATATAACCGTCGGAATGTGGCCTGCCTCCAAATCCGGAAGTCGCATTACCAGTGATCCATGTCGAAAGCGGTTGACAAACTCTCCAAGGTGGTATTCACCAACAACCTCAAGCCGGCCTCGCTCCTCATCTGTAGCTGCATCACTATTTTTCCGCACTGTAAAAAGGTTATAGTTGTTCTCAGCACCGAGAAAGACATCATCATCAAGAATCTCAACAGCTGACATCCAGTTTGCATTATAATCCCTAGCTAGCTCCTCTATCGCACCTTCCTCGTGCTGAAAAAGTAAAGTTACTCATCAGGTAAAAAATTCAGGGATGAACAATACATAGATGCTGAATATAAATGATATATCTGATTCAGCAATAGTCAAAATAATTCTGGTAATGTAAATCAACAAATGTACTATGTTCCTCATGCTTCAGAAATGACAAGAGGCCAAGGCCCAAAAAAAGAACCTACACACTTAATATTCAACAAAGGACATGCATATATATATATATATATATATATATATATATATATATATATATATATATATATATCCCTCTTAGAAGACAACTATAAAAATTCTCCTGGGTCTTTTTCTGATCTTATTACACAAACAAAAAAGAAATTGGAACCATGTAAGTAATTTACAAGCAACACAGGGATAACTTGACAATACCTTGTATAACAACAGAGATATAGATTTCATCAGATCACCAACAACAATGAAATCACCGCGAGTTTGAACATACAAAGCAAGTATATGCCCATGATGTCCACACTCTGCCTGCAATTCCCTTGATCCATCTTCCCGAAGCATCCATTTGTATAGTTGGATTTTCTGATTAATAGCAGCCAGCAATTTACCATTGAAAGCATTGAGAGAGTACACAGCACCCTTGGTTTCCTTTTCAGCAATCAACTGCAATTTCCCATCTTCAACTACAAAAACCAGGATTCTTCCCTAGAAAATAAAAACCAGATAGAGAATTAAATTTGAAACTAGTGAATCATTCATCAAACATGAATCGCATTTGACTGGAATCTAATGTTCTGTATGATTTCTGTAGAATAGGTTATCTCACTGCAAATATTGGAGACATAAGATTCATCCCATATATCAAATGAATAATCTGTCATAATACAGATCGTCTTACATACATACAGAGCAAATTATATGTGAAATATTCTAACAACTACAAGGAGCATAACAATAACTACAGACCACGAAGAAGAGTATAATCAAATCTAATCAAACTGCAGCAATAATAGGTTGCTAAGAAGAATAAATGTCAACACTACAGAAAAGGCCCACTCAAGACTTGTATAACGTAACATATAAAGAATGCCCTGCAACTAGAAAACTGCAAAAGAAAAAACCTTCTAGAAAAGTTTTTTATGGTAAAACTGACAACGTCAAACCTCATGATGAAAACGCAATACTGCACTTAAATACAAGGCAAGTATTTATGTAAGAAAGCCTGTACCAGAAAATGCACTGCAAGATTTGACCAAGAAATAGCAGATAATTCTGCGCGTATAGCCAAATTAATAATTTTGGAATATCCAGAGCTGATATTATACAGTTCATATAGCTAAGGCTCACCTTGCTAGGCTCATTTTCTTCAGGCAAAACATAAGCTGTTCCAACACAGTAATACGCATTATTGTCATCTGAGAATGAACAACTAATAATGGAGCAACCGTATTCATAGGTATCAAGAGGGTAGGTTGATATGAACTCAAAGGTTTGATCATCCAACAGGCGAACAAAGTGCATTTCTGTCTCCTCATTACTCGTCTGGCAGTTCTTGAGACTACAAATGGCAAATGTTCGAGACTGCTCCTGATGGCAAATTCGACGTGCATGTTCCCCCAGAGGAATTGTGCGAATGTGAAGCTTTTGGATATCATCTATAGTTCCAATTGAAAGTTCACCTTCTTTTGCTATTGCAAGGCTGTTTTAGAACATTAATATAAACTATAATTGGATGACAAAGAAAATTTAGCATCATAAATTGGGTAACACAGAATTATAAACTTAAATACTTTTGGCATTTTCTGAGATATTATGGCATAAAAAATAAAAAAAGGGAAATAGAGAACCTGTCAGGAAAAGCAGCTGAATTAAATGGACACATGTGGCTGACTTCCTTCAAATTCACATTACTATAGAGTAACTTCTTGTTGCTACTGTAGATAACTGTAGGTCTATCTGATGCTGCAAATACATGTGTGGTATCCTTTGAAGAAAATGTTCTGAGCATAATAGGCTGAGTACCAAGAGAGACCTTCTTCCTATTAGATAATTCACCGGTGCTCAAATTCAGTAGAAAATTGAGCAGGTGTCCATCTCCAAGGGTACACAGAAGATAAGATACCTGATGAAGATTAAAGAAGGCAATTAATAGAGGCATCATTACTTGCAATAAAGCATAAAATTGTACTGCAGAAATGCCACAAGGACAGCATCTTTATGCTCCAAATCTGCTTACCCCTTCAAAGGTACATAGAAGAACAGATCGAGGAATAATTTCACCTCCCAGATTTTCTTTTGCAAGTAGTTCTAGGCTAGGAAGTGAAAATATCCTGACACTAATATCTGTCCACATACCAACTGCGGCTAATGTGCTATAATTAGGATTTTCACCACTTGGATTTATGTCAAGACAAGATATCTCATAGTCCAATTGTACATGTTTAACTTCGGCCAGCTTCCCATTTCCAATCTCTAAGTAAACAAGATGGCCACCGCCAGTGGCCAACAAAACCTGTATTTCACCGAAAATATCACCATGTCACTCAGTCTATTATCATACTAACTATGCTAGTAAATGTGCAAACCAACATATATCTGAAATATGACAGATTTAGTTTCAAATATATCCTTCCCAGAAGTGTTTTGTGCATAATAATATCACAGAGATGAAGGTGCATTTAGTTCCCATGTGGAAATGTCTCAATATAAAAGCTGAGGCACAAATGTAATCTTTTCATGCTCTAGAACTCATATGGTGTAAATTTAATATAGAACGATCATATGAGTTGCTAACAATTATCTACCTATGAAATTTAAAAGAAGGGGAAAAGGTAAAGAAGAAGCTGAAACACAACCTGGGAGGCATTAGCAGTTGCAACGTTGACTGAGTAGCCTGAAGGTGCATTCCACTCATGCAGCAACTCTCGAGTGGTGGAACTCACTAATCGAACAGAATTAGCAGTAACCTAGTGCATATATTGCATTAATGACAATTTTTTTTAAATGCAAGCCCTGCCTCATAGAGGTATGGATAAGCATGAGTCCACAATTGATTAGCAAGCAGCAGCAAGTGTGGAATCAAGCTATCTGAACATAATAAAAACCACAATGAATGCAATCATTGTAAAATTGCACCTGCACAAGTTGATCATGGATGGCATTTTGACAAAATAAGGTTTGGGCTTCTGCGCAAAATCCTTCTATCTCAGATTCTTCTAATTCGTCATCCATATTCATTGCCAGGACACGTGTCTCATTGATGAAGCTTACCACCAAGAAGGTGTCATATGGATCATTAGTAGAAGACCGCAAGGACCATAACCCTTTGATACCTTGAAGTTCTACAGATGCCTACCAACAGATGTCTGCAGATAAATAAAAAATGCTCCAACTATTTTGATATGACCATCAATAAAGACACATAAAGGCATCATACCTGTTCATTAATCCCTATTCCATTTCGGACTATGCGGAGGGATCCATCTTTATAAGCTCCCGAACAGGTAACAACCTGACCCTGACCTTGCCTCTCAAGATCAACAACACAGAAATCCACAATAGGCCCCAGGTTGACATATTTTTCAAGAACTTCAACGTATGAACCCTTTGCATCAGGTTGTAGATTCAGTTTTATAAGCTGTTATTAAACAATTTCAGTGCAAACTTTCATAATTGCAACAGAACGCAACAAGATGCTGCAAAATCAGGCAATACATAGAAAAGCACAAATAGCAGCAGAGAATTCAACTGAGGAATCATTTAGTGGAACTGCCAAGAAAATCATTTAGTAGAATACCTGTGAATCACCATAGCTTGAACCAATATACACAACTGCATTATCAAGATAAGATATTGTTGATGCAACAGAGGTCTCTCCTAAGTGCTCAATTTTCAGACCAGTTACTCTGCAGCATTGTGCCAAAAAGAATCAGTATATTAACTTTGGAACATTTTACAGTTAAAAAAGAAAAAGAACACTTGGTGGGTCTGATTCCAAACATAATGAAACACAAACAGATGTTCCACCTTTCCCTCTCGTGAGTGATGACGAGTAAATGTAGAAGGCCTGCGTTATCACCAAGCAAGTACCGAGAGCCATCTGCATCAACTCTTCCATAGGCCCTTGTAATTGACTGTACATAGCAATGGGTAGCAAGCCACAGAATCAGAAAAATAATTGAACAAATAATTAAGTTATGATTAAAATGACTAAAAGCATTAAGTGAACGAACTTACCGGTCTGATTGGTATAGCTTTAAAAGCAGAAACACTACAATAAACGATCGTCTCCTCCCCTATAATTATGACACCACCAAGGGGCATGGGCACAGGAATCAGAATACCAGCCCCGTTATCAAGATTAGTATGAGACAATGGACCCTCAACAAAGTCCTTATCCTTGAGCGCTATCTCATAAGTCTTAGCATGCCGAGCATCCTTGTTATCCTGCATGACATAATCATGAAATTAACGATACTTTGAGATTTTCTTAGTATAGATTAATTGGCTCAGTTTTAATTAAATAATTTAGTAAACATATATTCAAGGCCTTTTAGACTTTCCAAAAGGCATCTTAAGCAATGAAGATATTTAATAAATTGGAAACACAGCAGACTTACCATGAAACAAACACTTTCTGTGGTAAACTAACTATACAAAAAAAGACCCAAAAGAAACTAATCCAATCGAAAGAGACCTTAATTCAGATTTTAAAAGAAATGAAGTACTGAACTTGCAGTTAAAGGTTCAGAAAAGTGACTAGAGGTGATACGAGGTGGAGGGACAGATCAGATGTTATGAATGTGAAACAGAAAAACAGACCAGATGGAGACTGCACAAGCAACAAAGCTGTGCACTAACCTGTGCTGTTATAACGTTTAAAACTTCTTTTGGAAAAGAAAATACATTTAACACTGGATATCACCTTTTTTAAGGAATGACCCATAAAATCATGTTTCTCATATGTTTTCACCAGGATGTTGATGCACACAATACATCTTCTTAGTTAAGCAATAAATTTGTTAAAATGTCATAGAAACAGTTGCAATGTTTCAAAAACTACTTAAAGATTCTCTAACCAGTGATGTACCAACACAGTCCCAATTTTCTACAGATACAACTCAAAACATACGTGGGCTTCTTGTTCTTTTTTCTACCTTTTTCCTTTCAAAAAGCCAAATATTATCATTGTCCATTTTGCTTTACTCACTTACCTGGTGAATAATTCAATGTTCCCTTACACAAAAAAAATTGGAAGCAAAACTTCATTCCGGCATAATGGTACATTGGAATAATAAGACTAACAAGTAATAGACATGAAAATGCTTCAGATATAACAAAATAAATGTTAATCAATGGTGTAACTTCTGTTCTTACTTGGTACAGGACCACAATTGTAGGCTTCAAACAGCCATAAAGAAATTTTATATCTAAAACTTGAAGTTCTTCAAGCCTGCGATGGAAACAAACATTATAAAAACATTTCTTAGAAACAAACCCTTGTTGAATGACTTGTTAATGAGTGATGATCCGATGAGAACATCTTCCATGGGGATACCTGATGTTAAAAGCTTCCTTTAACTGTCCTTTATTATCGAATGGTATAACCTGGCAAAGAAATAAAAACCATAAATTATGAGTAGCTTAGCCCTGAATGGCTGGATCTCAATCACAGCTATCACTTAAGAAGTAGATTCACAGATGTATCACCTTAAATAGACCATCATACAAGTGGAGGCCAATCAACCGACAGTCAGGGTCAATCAAACCAATCTACAAAAACAAAGAGGTTGACATCAATAAATAGCAACCACATAATTAACTCTAACAAGGTCTGCCATACTGAATCGTACCGCCCGGTACGGGTGGTACATACCGGTCCGACAGACTAACGGTACGCGGACCGCCCGCTACCGGTCCGAGTGTAGCATACTGTAGCAGTACTGTAACACTAATAAGTAATAACCACAATCAGTACTGTAGCACTAATCAGTACTGTAGCACTAATAAGTAATACCTAAGTAATAACAGTACTGTAGCATTACTGTAGTAGTAATGTAGCAATAACAGTACTGTAGCACTAATAACAAGTACTGTAGCAAATGAACAATTATATCTGGAGAACACTAATAAGTAATAACCACAATCTACAGTGCATAACTAAGCATCTCCATGGACCTTTGGCCCTACACTGACCAATTGAAATCCAAGTCATTCACTTTGAGTATTGCTTCCTGTGCATAGGAAAGCAGAGAAATGTGACCATACTTGTTTAGATCCACCAAACATTAAGGTGAATTGTTGAATTTAGATATAAAATATGATGACCTAAACGTGTGCCTGCTAAACCAGTCAATTACTCCATGCTCAGACATTAAGGGAATTTACAATATGGCATGAAGTGTCCACATTCCACAAGTGATCACACATAAAGAACTTACACTGAATGTCTAAAAGAATTCGAAATTGTACCAAGGATCTCAATACAGTAAAAAGCCACTTGAAAACACTTGCTTGATGTTGCAACTTAAGTAGTTACTGGCTGGCAGGGTGCTTATCCAAGGGGAAAGAGGGAGTGAAGACAGGGGCAGTTCTCTTAGATATGAGCCAAGTCTCTAACTTGTGCCCTATGCTGTGCACCGAATCATGGTACCCCACATTTCTCCTATCAACAATGGAGTAATGGACTCTTCTTTAAATACTTATGTTTCTCTATATTATATAGACAAAGACTCAGTACAAGACTGCAAAGTGGATAGAGATCATTCGAGTAGGAGAAAGTGAATCAACAATTAATTTATCAATGTACTATTTACTCATATTTCTCAACCATGAATGAACATGTAGTATCAAGTATCTTTTACCTGTCCGTTATCTGTTGGACGACCAATTCGATCAGAAACATCACCCATTGCTCTGCACAACAAAACAGCACGTTTTTGTATGCTTCAGTAAACAGGATCCTACAATTTGGTCTAGAATTACTACTCATGGGGGAAAAGCAAGTTTCGTTTATACTCTCATATTCAAGGCTAATGACTATGGATAAACAGAAGACTACACTGAATGCTTAAAAAAATCAATATGTGAGAACTATGTGAAAATCAAAGGCCTGGGTTCCTTGATTATGTATAACTGAGAAAGCAATGTGTATACATCATTTCTTCCATCAGAAAATTGATTGGAAAAGGTTAAAATCAACCTCGGCAACCAAAATGGCAAGTACAAGCAGATGAATGACATCTAAAGAGTTCATTTTCTCATTACTGTGAAATCATAGGGTATTGTAACTGCAACAATATTAACTACCAACTTAGTGCATGAAATAGTCCACGTGGTACGTGCGCAAAGGTGCATGTACTCTTAATAGTCTTTGCACACTGTCGATGTGTGTATAATGTACATACATCAATATGTACAAACATATGGATTAAGCATGAAATATCAAGACAGTTCAGTGCTCGCCTCAACCAAAATCATCCAGGTTGCCCTATTCACATATATTTCAATCAGCATGTTATATAGTATATAATTAAATTAAAATGTAAGTCCCTCATCTTCAACATTCCACATTCCTTTTTGAGCATCAAAAGGCTCTTGCTCTAAAAGAAAATAAAGCTAATCAAGGAAAGAGTTATCCGTGCATTACATAGGGCTCTGCACATGGAAGTATCAAAACACCTTTTCACAAAATAAGAAGAGCATTCACATATCCTTCTTTACCTTGTAATAAGCTCTGATGTCTCTGCATCCCACTGAAGAACACAGAATTTGTACCTCTCCGTAGCGATAAATAGAAAATCTTGAGGTTCACCCTATAGAGAATTCAATATATGTAAATTAAAAAGAGGTCTCATCTCGAGAAAGCATGAGAGGGCAAAAGACTCACATGCGGACGAAAAAGTTCGAGTGTGGCAATTCTTCCATATATAGGTACATCCAACATGGGCTGCATTAACAAAAAGATCAATTCAAAAATGTGAGTGCAACAAGAAACTAACACCAAATTGTAAGTGCTCTACGAATTTTCTGACTTTTAAAATTCAGATATGCATTAATTAATAAATCAAGTAGTCTTGAATCATTGTTTGTTAATAGTGATGAGAAGAAACAAAACACTATTGAGCTATATGATAAGATTGACAAAACAGACAAAGAAGATGATAACCAAAGAACAAAAGTGAAGTTCTAAGCAATTTCCAAACATATTTATCTCCGTCAACAGACTAACTGTATTGGCCTCAATATTAATCATATAGAGAGAGGAGAAACTGAGCAAGAGTTTTGTTATGATGATTTGCATAACCATCTTGCTGCGTCTAAAACACAGAAGCCATAACAATGATTGCTGCTCATAAAGCATGTGGAGAAGTCATATTTTACTTTCCACGTTCAACTAAAATTTCTAAGCATTTTCCAATTAATGGTCAAATTTAGATTAACAAGAAAGATGAACACCTGCTAGGCAAATTTCCTGGAAAAGCAAATGCTTCAATAGCACATGCAAAACATCCTTTCAACTAGAACACAACAGCAATAATAGATGACCCATCAAACTAATAGGATAAACCTAGTAACATGTTGCATAAGATAATTCACAAACATGATTCTGGCAAAATATTGTCTAGGCATCTAATATGTCTACGGATTAGCCTTATTTCCATGGTTCTTTTTTTTTAGAGGGTAATTTCGTACACATCTTTATCCCGTCTCGTACAAACTACTAGTAACAGCATCCTCCAACAGCTTTAATATTTCTAAACGAGCAACAAAAAAACTTCATCGATAGTGTAAAGAACAATTAAATAAAGAAAATAATAGACGAATTATGATCCTGTTACCTGCAGTCCATGAGGCGTAAGTAAATGGATTTCAATGCGTGTGCATTTACTGCAAAGAAAAGGCAGATTATCAATCAAAAGCAACGGCAGCAAGACTGAAATATCAACATCGACAAACTTAGACCAGCATCGCCAGGGGCAACGAAACCAAACGGAACCAAAGAAAACCCCAATCAAGAACTCCAAGAACTAGATAAATCAAGACCCTAACTAGACCTTAACTAGATGAGGCCTTCCAGTCCAATCACGGAACCCTAACTAGATAAATCAAGTTAAATCAATCAGATAAATCAGATAAATCAGATAACTAGATGTGGCTCCATCAGATAAATCAAGACCCTAACTAGATGAGGCCTTCCAGTCCAATCACGGAACCCTAACGCGAGACAATCTCCACCAAAATCACAGAAACAGCCAATTGCAAGGCACAAAACCCTAAAAAATTAAAGAAAATGCTTAAGGGGAGATTCGGATAGAAGCATTACGCGATGATGAGGTTGAGCTCTTGGGGGCTGGTGAAGTTGCCGACGCACGAGTGGGTGACGTTGGTCGGCTTGTGAGCCGTCACCACGTAGTTCCACACGCTCATCCCCACCGCCGCCGCCCGAGTTGCTCGCCAAACGGAAGAGAGGAAGGAGAAGGCGGAAAAGGTCGGGAGCGAGAGGAAGCGAGAGGAAGGGCCGTAAGGGTTTCCAGCGCTTGAAACAAGAATAGAATGTGCGACGCACGTGACAGAGAGACCAGTTATTGCTATTGTGTGGATGGGCTCGACCGGTCCTTGTGATTTAGAACGAGACCGGATGGAACCGGTCTAATATTAGGCTTTCGGTTCCATGGTGGGCCTTATTTGGGCCTCTTCTCGACCCATCCATGTGATTTAGAACCAGACCGGATCGAACCGGTCCAACAATAGACTTTCGGTTCCGTATTGGGCCTGTCCATTGGATGTCACAACAGTAATAGGGATTTTGACAGGCAATGATCAGACAAAACCAATCCATGCAATAATAGCACAAATGTGGCACCACAGGGCGCCATCAAATTTCCATCACAGGGGTTTACAAACAGAGCGTGAGTGGATCTCCCCCTATCACAAACCTTATCGCCTACACACACATGCTTACGAGCGGAGAAACAGCCACATCCTCCCTCAAAGTTAACCCCTTTTTCCCACCTTAACTTCATATACAGCATGGTTTTATCACGAGGAATCAGAGGAATCCAATTTCTCTCTCTCTCTCTTCTTCGGAGCAGAAGAAATTACAAGAAGTCTATCTCAAAGTTCTGAGGTAAAGCTCTCAAATTGAGGCCTTGCGTTCTTCTTTTGGAACGAAACTAGGGTTTCGGAGGGTATCTGGGTGAGGATTGGACGTCCTTTTGTTCAAGATTGGAACTTGATCGTGTTCTTGCCACTCGGGTTGCGGTTCAAAGATGCAATTTTTATGCTAGTTTGGTGGGAGTTGCGTGTTTGTGTGGCCTGCTTGCGGAGCAATGGCGTCTCCGGCTTCCCTCGCGTCGCTGGGAAGCGCGAGGTCCGTTTCCCCGGGAGTCTTCGAGGTGTTTCCCTCTGTCGTCGCTGTTCGGAGGGTTCATGTCGTTTCTAGTATTAGAGTCGGTGGCTTCGACGGCTGGAAGAAATGGCGTCGCGTTCGAGGTCGAGTGTGTAAGTGTATGGTGACCACCAATTTGGTTGAGGAGAGAGAAATCCCGTTCTCTGCGGAGTCCACATTGAAGGTCAGTAACAGCAGCGGTGGCAGAAACGATGATGCGGATCTCATCCTCAAGCCTCCTTCCAAGCCTGTGCTGAAACCCCTCCCTAACGGCCAGGTTGATCCTTCGAACTCGGGCTCCTCCATTTGGTCATCCGACATGGTTGTCCGTGAGAAGCCGATGGCCGCAGTGGAAGACACAGAGAAAGTGATAGAATCTCTTGGTGAGGTTTTAGAGAAGGTGGAAAAGCTTGAGACTACGAATGCCCTCAAATTTGGTGGTAAAGATATCAAGGGCAATGGTGCGCCCAGTGGCGGCTCCAAACCGGTTGGGCCTGAGAATGCAACTTCATCTCCTAGGAAGTCGAAGACGCTTAAGAGCGTTTGGCGGAAGGGGAACCCTGTGGCAAGCGTACAAAGGGTAGTTAAAGAATTGCCCAAGGTCAGGGAGGATAGGAAGAAAGATATCCCTATAATCACAGAGACGAAGATATCAGGTGCTGCTCAAGTTGCTCCTTTGAGGCCTCAAATGCCTTTGCCGGCCAGGCCGAAGCTGCAAGCAAAACCTGCAGCTGTTCCGCCTTCCACTCCTGCAGTAAAGAAGTCTGATGTCCAGAAGGAAAGGAAACCAATTCTTATAGATAAATTTGCATCCAAAAAACCAGTTGATGATCCAATTGCAGCTGAGGCGATTTTAGCAACCCCTTTGAAGCCAGCAAAAGGGCCCCCACCATCCAAAGTCAAAGATGAACGACGTAAGAAATCAAGTTCTACTGGTGGATTGCGCAGACGTATGACAAATGATGGAGAGATATCCGAACAGGAAGCCTCAGAACTTGATGTGCCTATCCCTGGTGTAACAGAGCCAAGGAAAGGGAGGAAATGGAGTAAGGCAAGCCGTAAGGCTGCAAGACTGCAAGCAGCCAAAGCTGCAGAACCTGTTAAAGTCGAGATTCTTGAGGTGGGTGAAGAGGGCATGTTGACAGAGGAGTTAGCATATAACTTGGCTGTCGGTGAAGCAGATATTCTTGCATTTTTGTTCTCAAAGGGAGTTAAGCCTGAGACAGTTCATGCTCTTGATAAAGACATGGTCAAGATGATATGCAAGGAATATGATGTGGAAGTAATCGAAGTTGACCCGGTTAGAGTGGAAGAAATGGCAAAGAAGAAGGAAGTACTTGATGAGGATGATCTGGACATGTTAGAAGATAGGCCTCCTGTTATTACAATCATGGGACATGTGGATCACGGAAAGGTACCAGTTTTTTTTTTTTTTTTTGCTATTATTAGAGTTAAATCCCTGTATAAATGGACACTTATTTATTTATTGGTAATCTGGATTGACAGACAACACTACTGGACTATATTCGAAAGAGCAGGGTAAGTTCTATAACTTCTGTCCTGCATGTGCGTTCCTGTAAATTTCTTATTGACAGGTTTGAATGTCCTGCAAAGCAGTTGTGTGCAAAACTTTTCCACATGTCTATCGCCTCTCTCAAAAGCTGAGTCTGACTCATAATTACAGGTGGTAGCATCAGAGGCAGGTGGAATAACTCAAGGTATTGGCGCATACAAGGTTCTTGTCCCAGTTGATGGAAAGCCTCAACCATGTGTCTTTCTTGATACCCCGGGGCATGAGGTATTTGTTATGTGCTCCTTTTCTTCTGCCACTAAAATTTTCAGCTGATATTCCCTTCTGGTTTTGGGACCTCATTGTGATCTTGGCTTTAGACGTAAAATCAAATTTTGTAATATGAGTCTTGAATCTTTGTTGTGGGTGAACCATGCAATGCAATTAACTCCTGCTCTAAACTTGCCACAGGCATTTGGTGCAATGAGGGCACGTGGAGCAAGAGTGACCGACATTGTCATCATTGTAGTGGCTGCTGATGATGGAGTCCGCCCGCAGACCAGTGAGGCAATAGCTCATGCAAAGGCAGCTGGGGTGCCTATTATCATTGCCATTAACAAGGCATGCCAGCTTAGTCATGCTACATCTTCTTCATATCTGGCATGCAAGTAATTGATTACGGTTGTTCATTCATGGATTCAGATAGATAAGGATGGAGCAAATCCAGAAAGGGTTCTGCAAGAGCTTTCTTCTGTTGGCCTTATGCCAGAGATATGGGGTGGTGACATTCCTATGGTTCAGGTTGCTCCCACTTAAAAAATAGCTATAACCTTTAAACATACTTTCAGTTTTTATGGTTCATAAAAATCGTTAGTTGTCTCCTGAATCAGATTAGTGCTCTTAAAGGAGAGAATGTTGATGAACTGTTGGAGACTGTTATGCTTGTGGCAGAGGTATAAGATTAGTCTCAGATTCAAAGTTGCTTACTTTGGCGAATTTCATACCTTATTTAGTATTTTTCACAATTGTGAAGCTGCAAGAATTGAAAGCCAATCCTCAAAGAAATGCTAAAGGCACCGTTATAGAAGCAGGTCTTGATAAAGCAAAAGGAGCTGTTGCCACACTTATTGTGCAAAATGGAACCCTTAAGAAGAGTGATGTTGTAGTATGTGGTGAAGCTTTTGGAAAGGTTTGCCTTCGTCTTGTTTCTTTAGGAAGAAGTGTGGATAAATTTTTGCCAGCCTTTTCATACACATTATTAATGTTCATAGTCGTGGTTTCTTCTCCTTTTTGAGAGCTTACTAACATTTCACGTTAAATCGCCTCATGAGTAGGTGCGTGCTATGTTTGATGACAGAGGTGGTCATGTTGATAAAGCTGGACCATCAATGGCTGTGCAGGTATATTTTTCTCTGCTTATCTTGGGAATAACTAAAGTTAAAAGATTGTTTTCAGAACATCTGATGATTTGCACCATATGGATTAGTTAGTATTCTTGAAACAAATAGCTCAACACAATCGTTAATTATACACGTTGCACAATATGAGGTATGGTCTTTTAAAAATCTTGAAGGATATGGTGGATGATAAACACTAATGTGATGTAATATTCTAGTTTTTCTGACTGGACGTTATTTTCATATTTCTTGAAGTCTTATATCTTTGTTTGTTAACCACTCTTATGCCTTTCCTTCTTCACTTGGAATGTTCAAATTCCTAGGTAATCGGTCTCAGTAGTGTTCCTATTGCTGGTGATGAATTTGAGGTTGTCAAATCCCTTGATGTGGCACGCGAAAGGGCAGAAACATGTGCAGAATCATTATGGGTTGCACGGATATCTGCAAAAGCAGGGGAAGTTAAGGTCACTCTGTCTTCCATCGCTTCTGCTGTTGCAACAGGGAAACAATCTGGTCTAGATGTGCACCAGTTGAATATTATTCTAAAGGTTGACGTCCAGGTAATATTCTCCAGATGCATGTTATCTTGGATATTGCATCCAGCACATTGTCTGTACATAACTCATTTCTGAACGCAACACTTTCATACATCTTAGGGTTCGATCGGAGCTATCAGACAAGCTCTTCAAGTGCTCCCTCAAAGTAATGTCAGTTTGAAGTTCCTCCTCCAGGCTCCAGGAGAGGTGAGCACTAGTGATGTTGATCTGGCTGTTGCTTCTGAGGCCATTATATTTGGTTTCAATGTGAAAACACCTGGTTCAGTTAAGAGCTATGCAGACAAAAAAAATGTTGAGATTCGTCTGTATAGGGTCATTTATGACCTTGTTGATGACATGAGGAATGCAATGGAAGGACTTCTAGAGCCTGTTGAGGTTAACACTTGACCATCTTGAGCTTCTGTTTTTTGCCCGGACACCTAAACCGACATTTTATTTTGATTCTAATTATGTCTGTTATCTTCTAGGAACAAGTTCCAATAGGAACAGCAGATGTTCGAGCAACATTCAGTAGCGGTAGTGGACGTGTTGCTGGATGCATGATCACTGAAGGAAAGGTGGTGAAAGACTGTGGTGTTCGGGTTGTTCGGAATGGGAAGACAGTTCACACTGGCACAATTGATTCTCTTAGACGAGTGAAGGAAGATGTCAAGGAGGTACGTCACAAATAGTCGCTCATTTTTCAGAAAACAGCTTAGGTAACATGAACTGCTGTCTTCTAATAATTCACAATATTATGAACAACAATGCTATAGAAATTTGTATCAGGCTTACCACGATTGTAGATGGTGCCAATTGTATTCTGAACACCCAAAGTCTTATCAGTTCGTGATAATCACCCAAAGTCTTATCAGTTCATGATAATCAGTTTACTGCTGTAGTATCTTTAGTTCAGGAAAAAGAACGGACACTACCATGATCACACATTGCCTCTGATCATATATTAGCATGAAAATTACAAGCAACTTAGTTTCCAGTTAAATATGTTATAGATTTAATAAAAGTTTTACATCTGATCTTATATTTGCATTGTCACTGTGCAATATTTTTATGAATCATTCTCCATCATGTACTGTGGATTTGGCAAACAATAGTTCCTAAATGCTATAGTGTGAAATCTGATACCCCATGCATGGTCATGTTTTCTTTCTCGGGCAATGGTAAGTTCTTCTTTCTGGTATCCAGGTTGGTGCCGGGCTAGAGTGTGGAATTGGTGTTGATGATTTTGATGATTGGGAAGCTGGAGATGTCATAGAAGCTTTCAATACGGTTGAAAAGCAACGGACACTTGAAGAGGCATCTGCAACAGTGGCAGCTGCATTAGTTGGAGCTGGTATCGAGTTGTGAAGCGGAAAACAGAAATAGTTGATTGAGGACATTCTGGTCGATTTGACATGCATAACCTGTGGCAGTCTTGTAAAACCATCCCGCTGGTGGCGGTTCAAAGCAACTTCATCAAGCTTTTGGCAGGTGAAGTTACATGTCACATCTTCAAATTGATCTTTGAAGCTGCTCTGCTTCTCTGCCATATAAGCTTATGTAAAGTGAATCTCAGAAGTCAGATGTTATTTCTATTTCTTTTTTTTCTTTGTCCACAGAGAAGGGCACTAGATCTTTTTTTTTTCTCAGTGATTCAATTACCTGTAACAAATAGTGATCGTTTTATATTTCAAAGCATTGCTTCCTCACGACAGATCGATGCTGTCCTGAGTTTATTTATTGCCCGATGTATGAAAGAAACCATACCTAAAAGGAAATATATACCATTGTATTTGCAGAACATGCTATATAGTGCTGTAACATCCTTGCATTACTATCTTGTGTTGGAGATGATATTGACATTCATTTTCAAATGGGAGCATCAGTAAGGTAAAATATTTAGATGCTGCCCTGGAAGAGAGGAGCAAAATTAGGATTGACATGAGATATTGATGGAGAGCAGATATATAGTGCTGTAACATCTTTGCATTACCATCTTGTGTTGCAGATGATATTGACATTCATTCTCAAGTGAACGAGAAGCAAAATTAGGATTGACATGAGATATTGATGGAGAGCAGATATATAGTGTTGTAACATCTTTGCATTACCATCTTGTGTTGCAGATGATATTGACATTCATTCTCAAGTGAACGAGAAGCAAAATTAGGATTGACATGAGATATTGATGGAGATCTGCTTTTGTTTATTTGGTTTTTGGTGGTGAAGCAAAATTAGGATTGACATGAGATATTGACATGCATCTGTCAAATAATCTACTTTCAAACCCAACTGTTAAAACTCCTGAGTTTGAGTTGAAAACAGTCAATTGTATTCGTTCAACACTACCAAAAGATACATTGTGTGATTAAATGTACAATAAATGCATGAAAGAGTAAATGAGGGTGTTAAGAAACTCCTCACTGACATCCAGTTGAGAAGGCAATGCAAGACTTGAGATACAAAGCAGCAAACACTTAAGAGAGGCAAAAAAGAATCTCTCGCTGAAGCCAGTGAATAATGATCATCAACATGCCAGAGCAGCAATTATCACATGCATTAACATCTCAATCATCCTGTCATGCTTCTAAGATGGGATCGATGCAGTTAACATCCTGACAAGGATCCATTCTAACCGATTATAACTTTGACTACATTGTGCTCCGGCCGAAGCACCCATAGGTTGATATCCTTAATAAAATGCTGCTTCTGCATGGATGACAGATAACTTTGACATCCTCAACCATACATTGCATTGCATCATATCACAGGTAACTCTGCGGTAACAACTCGAATCCCCATCGAGGAATTCATGAGCCTACAAGTTAAAATACCACAGCTTAGCATGAATATGCTTGAAACTTGAATAGCTCAGTAGAACTAGCAGATCAGATAAACTAATGCATGACTGAGTGCAATAGATTCTATGATCAGTCCAACTGGAAAATCAAAATGGGAATAACTTCTATAGATAAGCACACTACTTTATGGTTTTGTTGTTGTTGTAATATCATTATGAAATATGTTAATCATAAAAATGTTGTAAAGATGGTGTATTGGTATGTAATTAACATAGAATTTTGTATACTGTATTAATTTAATCAAAAAGAAAGATAAGCACACTATAAATCTATTAACCATAAATCATAGACTGACATCTGTCTGATGACAGCATTTGGACAGGATGCAGACCTTGATCAACTTGCCAATCTTGTGAACTTCGCAATAAATAGCCCACTAGTTTGGGATGTTTTCGGGTCAAAGCGTAATGTATTCGGAATTCCTCCACTTCTACACGGCCAGATGGCTGAAGCTTCCACATGTCGTAGCTCTGCCAGGATTGAAACTAAGAGCAATGAGATAAGAAGGCAACAACTGTGACCTAATTAGAGAAAATAGATTCGCAGAATACTTAAAAGAAACTCTAGTGATAATAGAAATACAATACCAAAGTATTTCAAATATTTTAACAAATGCCAGATGATGAAAATGACATTTCAAAATAGTTGTCAATTGCCTTCTTAGTTCTACAAGATGATATATTCTGCAATAGCAAAAAACAAACTATCATCAAGCCTACTTTAAGTAGCCATACATGAAATAATGTGAAGATCAAGACCGATGCCATGGTAACAACCCTCAGGTACTAGTTTCCAATAAGAGGATAAACACAATGAATCCGTCAGAAACCCACACCAGAGGCAACATTTACAGCACAGGTAGAACAAATTAACAATTAACTTCTTCAACTTGGACAAGCAAGTTACTATCCAATCTGTTAGATTAATAAGTGGATGATTTGCATCTTCATCAGAGAATATAGACTCAAAAACAAGATTAATAGTAACACTCAAAGGCCAAAGTACAAAGTAAAATGAATCACACACTACTACTAAATATTATATGGTATAATAAACAAAAATCATTAGCTTTGTTTTCTATAACTTATAGACACATCAACTTGGGCAGAATAGATAACTATAATAAACAAACACATGTAAGCCAAGTCACTAGTAGTGAGCAGACCAGGTTATTTATATCGACCAGCTCATCATCATCTACAAATGTGGAACTAATCGTAGGCAGTGTCATGATGCCTCTTCAATCCAGATAACGTTGCCTACTTAATGCGCCAACTATGCTACCACTCAGTCTCCACACTGATTTTATGCCTTCAAGCCTTCTTATTCAATACTCCATCATTGAACCATCATGGCAGAAACCCTTAATTTTCTAGTTTTTACTTGCTAATGTTATGTTAAAATTGTCTTAACTGTCCAAACCTAGAAATTCCTTGGTGCTAAGAGTACAAGTACAAACCAACAGATAATACCAGTGTCTGGAAAATTCATCAACATAAACATTAGATGGTAGCTAAATATTACGATAACATAAAAATAATCGATCCGCAGACTGAAGCCTACATGCTCAGTTAAGAAATCCATCTTTCACCCTAAAAACACCTCTGTTTCTTCTTTTACAGTTTATGCACATCGAAATGCAATCATACTGATTACATCTAAATGTTAAAATAATTACATATAAAATGTCATGAAGATAATACAAATTATAGTTCATGTAAATTCAAGGAGCACTGGATAATATAATGAAACCATAATGAGATATAACAGCAACAGAAGTACCAGCTAAAGAATTTCTTGAGAGGAACTGCTTCACCACATCCTCATTTTGGGCAACTGTTAAACTGGAAGCAAAACAATCTGTTGTTCATTTTGGGCAAAGAAGATGAAAAAAATCTCAAACTAAGTTGTTCTGACAGTAGCAAAGTAACAGTTCACGAGAAAAAAAACTAGTATCTTCTTGCTTATGCTATTTACACAGATTTTATAGAGACGAGAAGAAACATATGCATGATCCAAGATGAGACAGATAGAGCAGCAGAAAAAATTCTAAGAGATAAAGTTTAGTAGGCAGCTAGTGTAGAAATATCTACGCCAATGAAAAAAGGTATATTGTTGCAGTTTTACATGAAGAGGCAGCAAGCCAGCATAGTTTTGGCAAATAAAAATTACAGCAACATATGTTGTATGCATTGTACAGTAAGCCCATATTTCTTAAGATGGCAGATTAAATTGCTATTGAACATCGAAACTTAAGGTTAAAGGTTAACTGTACATATAAAAGAAAAGGTCAGAGAATGAAAACTATAACTGTAGTACAAAAAGACAAAACACTAAAATAACCTTCAGGGGAACACATAATCAAATAAGTCAATACTCTACACTACCATACGTCCCACTTTTTAATTTCTTAAATTTTTTATGAGAGAAGAGGAAAAATCTATGATTATGTCCTCTAGAAAAAAAAGATAGGTGAATGTAACAGAGAAAGGTATTTCGAGACAAATGTAGAAGCAAGACAAGAAACCTACAAGGGCTACCAAGATGTATGATAACCATACCCTCTAGAAAAGCTTTACCAAGAGAAAGCAATACGTTTTGATTCTGGTTCTCGGTGATACCAGTATATATCAAATGGTATATATTGGTCTGACTAATATTTAGATCATGGCTCACCTTACTAGTCCGTACTGGTGTACCAACCGACCATCGGTATAGTACATATCGAACTGTACCGATGTACCAACATATGGTATGGTGTGATGTACTGACAAACCGATATGTACCGCTCATACCGGTCCCATGTCGGACTGATACATACTGCCTATATCGAGGGGTATACCACGATACGACGAACCTTGATTTAGATCCTCAATTAATGGTATTAAGTCTTCATTTGTATAAAGCATATACGAGTATCAAGTACTTTGTAAAGATCCCTTCAAAGTCTAAACTATGATAATGAACATATAAAACTTTTAATACATATATAATATGACTAACATTTGACTATTTGTGTGAGTCTAGATCAATAAGTCAATCACAAATATCAAAATTGTATTTATATCTTGTTTAGATATTTGTGTTGTGTGAAAAAAGTGGATACGTGGAACCAGCAATCTTTGAAAAAAAAATTTCTCATGTGGATAAAAATTGATACATAATACTATTAATACCATCATTTTTCTCTAATCCATTTGCAGTATCCAACAGGTAAAAAGTAACAGAAAGTCAGTTAAGAAACTGACATCTATCTGTATAGAAGAGTCAAACAAGCCCTTGATAAAGTGGTTCCATCACAAAGCATATTGAATGAAAACAGACTTTTGAATAATATGAACACAAGCAGCTACATCTAACAAAATTTTCATTAATACAACAATAGCACAGGGCCCAGAGGTATTCTTTATGGAAATTATTCATGATCATGGTTGGCAAATGCTGACTATACATGAAAATTATAGATAAAAGTAGATAAGTCTTTCCATAGTAGCTCGTAAGAACCATTTCATGCCCCACAAAATAATGGTTAGCAACCAAGGGGACTCACCTACAAGTGCTATATACAAGTGTTCCCCCAACTCTTAGCAATCTGAAACCATTTGTCAAAAGTTGTAACTGCATGGGGAAAACAATTGCATATCATATTTCTCTCTCTCAATGCCATAGTAATGAACACAAAAGAAAAAATCTCCAAAAATGAAGTCGATAATATGTCCTGTTTCAGGTAACATCATATTGACACTACAATTAAATGTATTCTGCGATTTGAATTTGCTGGATTACAATAATTTCCCATGAACCAAGAAGCTACATTATAGCCAACTAGGAAACTCAAGTATCATTAAACAATCCAACAGGCACAATGAACAAAATCTATTACTGAAATAAATTAGAAAAATGGAAAATATTGTGTCTGTCTAGGGCTACTCAGTGTACTATATTGTGGAGATCATCAACATCACTAAATGCATTTTTTTTCAAACTCAATAATGAGAATATATGTGAAAATTTGCACAAAAGAACAAACCCAAAAGACATGTGACTCCATTAACCAACAGGATCGGCAAAAAACCAGCTGAAAAGCATAAATCCCTAACTTACAACTAAAACTGTCCCAAACCTCAAAATTCATATATCCAACCCTAGCCCACTTCAATAGCATTAAAGCTAAAATTGGTAAAGTTAGGTTCACAACAAGTTCAGTCCTATTAGAATTACCCGTGTAGTAAATATGAAATGCAAAAACTCAAACCTGTAAGTACTTTATTGGGTTAACTCTTAAGTAGATTTGTTCTACATTGCAACTATATCAGATTGGGTAGACTGCAGTCAGATTTGAGTTTCAAGTGCATGAACTAAACTTGAGTTATATCACAATCAAAACCTAACTAGAGAACTGAACAACCAAGCCAACTACACCAAATAATCTGGATGTGACACACAAGAATCAGACCAAGTTGCATGTCCAGGGTGAGGAAAATAAGTACCTGAAGGTGGAGCAAAGAGTCTGTTCTTTTAGCATCAAGTACTCGACGCTCTAATGTTTCCCATCCCCAATCCTCGAACTTCTGGATGTGTTTCAGTGATCCATCATGAGTGCATTCTGCATCAACGAGGACCTAAACAAAGTACGAACAAACAATGATTTAGTTTACATATGCAGCCAATTGACAGTAATATATACAAAGGCAAGGTCATCAGGAAACACAAAAAGAAACATTTAATATTTAAATGTTAGATATGGAGAATATTAGAAATACAAGAAAATACAAATCAAGATGGAGAACTATGATAGAAAGCAGTTAGCAAAACATCTTGCTTTATTAAAACTTTCAAACAAATTCAACTACCGAATATTTAAATTTCCTCCATCTAAATTTATGACCAAAATTATCTAATATGCTTAGATTCAACCAATAACAAATTGGTAGTGAAAATGAGAAAATTATCAAGCCCAAGAGAGTTAGATAAATAATAATTCATCATGCCAATTAAATCCTCAATATTAAGTACACAAGTTCCAAAATCTTCTTGATAGTCCATGCTTAGTCCTTCCTCAAAAAGCAGAAGAAATTCCATTTTTCATGTCAATGATTATTTCCCAAAAACATTAGTGCATCACACACATTTATATTAATCATATAACATAGGTTTTACTTGCTGGATTAAGATACTATCAGCACTATGGCGAATGACCAATTAACCTAAATTATAACTACAAACAAAAGAATCACAAGCTCTTTTATACAAATGCGACCATTTTTCTCCTTTGAACTTTAACTTCCCTCTAGCCTGCTGATCTTTTGGCACAAAAGTGATCCCATCTCCTGACAGGACTGCTTCTCTCTCTCTCTCTCTCTCTCTCTCTCTCATTTCTTGGGGGAAGGATTGGGTGACTAACCCGTTAGTTATTTTGTATGCATAGACTGATTAAATAAAACCAGTGTTAATGATAGTACTCAAAGTAGGCAAATTAACCAGGAAACTATCCTTAGCAACTGGATAATACCAATGTTATTTAGTTTAATGACTTTATCCCATTTCATTCAGCACTTTATTGCCCCGCAACTAATCAAAACACCTGCTTCAAAAATAAACAGTCACTGATTAACATCGATGTGGCATTCAAGTCAGTGAACATGCATCTCGACAAGCAAACAATCCATGTCATAAAAATGACAAGAATATGTTGAGTCTCTATTAGCATTTTAAGCTTTATTTATATAAATATCTGCGTGCATTCCCACTGATCGAGTTCAAAATTGAAAGTTATCATTACAGTTAAAGAGTTGATCCTGTAGTGCTGAGACATAAAAACTAGGAACACCAAAAGGTACCAAGGAGACCACAAAAATTAAAAAAGGTCCTCTGGAAAACATTAGGAAAGCATACCCTGTCATAGCCAGAAAATGATGGTTCATCTACTGCACGAAAGAGTTCATTTTTGCATAATCCTACAACCCCGGAATATCTGCCATAGAAAATTAGCTCCGGTGAAGTTGATTTAATTTGATCTAAATCAGCAATGTTTCCTGCTTTGGCAGCTTTCTTTCGTTCTCTCCATGATCTCTTGGCAGTCCATTCAGCAAATATATCAGGGTCATTCTTGCCACTCAAACCTTTGACAATTCCGACACCAAGTTTGCCTAAGTTAGCCAATATGCTATATGCTTAAACGAGAAGATACTTGTTTACAACAAATTTCATTACATGGTTTTGTTTCCATGCAAGACCTCACTGGCAAGAGGGAGAATGATGTTCCATCAGCAACAAAAAGCCGGCAATGATCTCCCAAGGAATACTTTTGCAACATTGTACGGCAGGCTGCCAGACGGGCTCTTGCAATGTCAACACCAGTCAGTGAACCAGAGTTACCAAGAAGATCTGCTAGCATGCACAGCTTGGCACCTGACAGAAATGGAATAGTCTCACTAAATAAGTTACAAATCCATGAAAAAACAGTCAGGACATTGCTGATTTTTTTAAAAAGACAAAACTAACTGAAAGTGCAAAATCTTCAATTTTCATCAGTACCATACTTCATATAGGTCAAGTCAAAGACAGAATTACCAGATTTTTCAAACAATAAAACACAGCTATTCCTAGAGAAAAACTGATTTCATGTTTGCAATATTTAACTAAAGAATACTGTTGAAAATTTTAAAAAGTTACATAAAATATGATACAAAAGAATAGATGTACTAGCCTTTGTAGAAAATAACCAATTGAAACAACCAAATACAGAAATCTAAGCCAATCGACTCCTTGATACTGAAAATTTGACTCTGACAACTAACAAGCTCCAAACAAGGCCAACTCATGAAAGGTTTGAAGAGAATATCAAACTTAACACATTTGTGACAACTTTATTATAAGTTTTAACTGTCTCATATCCATTAGACATTATCCTCGTAAGAGAGAACAAGATAGTAAAACCACAAAGTATCAGTGTCCTAAGGAATCATTCAGAATACAGTACAGCTGTTATCATATAATATCCATTTAGTGATTTAGGACACAAACCTCAGACTAATAAACTTATCAGAACCAAAATGAGGATACCCAAAATTTTGTAAGACACTGGATTTATGCACATTACCAGATATGAACAAACAACTCCTATCTGATCAAATAAATTTATAAGGTTGAGAATGGGAGTCTAGACCTGAAATTTCAGGTTAATTTCAGGTTATCATCTCTCTCAATACGCCTAGGATAAAGGGAAAAAACAAAAAAATTGCTGCATTGTTCAACACCCCATGCCTTTTGTTCAATGGTGATGAACCATATCAACAAAGTTAATCTTCATAAGGAATGTATTTATTATTTGGACGAATCAAGAAGAGGCAAGAACCATTGAATTGACATAACACAACCGAGTAAAACTTCAAACAACCAGTTGAAGTGCCAAAAAGTTGTACAGTCCTAACAATAAATTTTGCATCCACTGGCTAATAAGATGAAAGTGAGGAACTCAAAGACCAACTCAAACATAGAAAACAGCAAAAATAGCAACTCTTTGGAATCAACTTTGCTACAGATAATATTATGGAAAAACCAATTAATGCATGTGTGGGCAATGATCATCCAAATCTACACCAGGGTTAAGCAATTTAATATGACCTGGTCTGCCGCCAGTGATTATCTGGTCATGTTTGCCCAGTAAAGTAGATAAAAGAGTAGCATAAAATGAACATGGTGATCTTGTACATCAAGTCTCAAAAGATCATGTTCTAACTGGGTCAGCATCTAAAACATAAAAGATGGCCAATAATGTCCCATCATTGAAACCATATACAGTCTGAAATTTCAAGTCAACAAGGAACCAATAAAAATAATAATAATTTTAAATGAGAAATGTAGACCACAAAAGAAATTATGGTCCAAAGTCACAATTATCGTTCATCAACCAGGCTAGTTGACAACAAAGTTGAATGAATTGGACCACTGTAATAACAAGACTGGTTGCTTTTCAAGAAGCATGTACTTGCAACCTTACAAACTCGCAATAGAATGAATTATGAAAACTATGACAACTACAAACTTGAGATTATTGCCGTTAGAAAAATGATGGTTCAGTGCAGAAGGTTCCCATGCCCAACATAGGGTTGGAGAGGGTCAATATACACCATCTTACAACTAAAAACAAAGCATATTGCCCTGAAAGTGAAAATATTGTATAAGTTCTTGCTTAAGTTAAAAGAGTAGAAAGCACCCAGCCACTTGTTCCTTTTTGTTTTAGTCTAATCTGTAATCAAGCATCTTTCGATCAAAACAAAAGAACAAACAACAAACTTAGGAAAAACTTTCCATGCATCATATGAACTTATAGTTAAATATAAAATTGATTTGATAAAAAATGTTCTTTCATTAATTCTCAGCAAAGACACCCATGTAGTCATCTGATTCATGATAGAAAATATGCACGAGAATTCTAGATACCATGCAAGTGCATTACGACTAGCATATTAATTGCTCAGTTGACCTACCAAATAAGAGACAGTGGACAGTTATCATGTATGACCTAATTTCTTAGTGCATTCTCAATAATAATTTATCCATAATTCTACAATTAAGTTTCCATGGAGGTGCAGATTGGCATCAGTATATCTCACATTAGATAAGGATTCATTGAACATGAAAAAGAATTTAACAGCCACAGGAAAACTAGCTAATTGAAGGCACCTAGTAACTTATGTATATACGTATGTATGTGTATGTATGTATAATATACACACTTCCTTGTGATATAGAGATTAAAATGTCTATCCAACATCAAATGCAAAGTACAATAAATTCAACGGATTAAACTTATAATGTACCAACTATCAACAATGTCCATAAAGAAACAAAAGTGACAGAAAAACTCTAGGCTTCATAAATAAGTAGTTACCTGATGAAGTTAAAACTTCTGCAATATTATATTCATTTTATATAATATAAATTTCCATGCGATATAGAAAATTATTGGACATGCAAAATATTTGCAAGCTTTTTTATAACTTAAAAAGCACATAGATGCAGCTGAACATGTAATATTAGCAAATTATGCCGGAACCAACCTTATTTTGTTGTATAACTCATAAACTATCCGGATACACAAGCAGAAGCATAAAGCTTAAGTACCTGGTGCACAACACAGATCAAGAACATGATCTGCCGGTGAGACATTTAAGGCTGACACAGCAGCTCCTGAAGCTGCATCCATCCCATAGATCTGAGTGGTAGTTATTGAAATTAGATTATGTAGCTCACTATGATTACAAGATCACATACAAACCGAAGAAAAAGCAAGGGCAGTAGCATGAATATTTACATAGTACCTTCTTCAAAAGAAATAGACATAATCCCCTTCTTAATTGTATTATTTTTTTTTAAATCCAATTCAAATTATTGGGTTCTGGTACTTTTTCTGAAGCCAATTAGTTAGACTAAATTAGCTTGAGTGCTTTTGAAGGAACTGGTTCATCAACTGGAAAACCCAAGAGACCTTGTTCAAATTGAGCTCCGACCACAAACAGAACCATACGATACCAGCTCAGAAGAGATCTGATGTTCAGAAGCCTGATATTACAATAAAATATAATGACAATAATAAAGATCACTAGGAACCTCACAAATTTGGTGATTAGCTAGCTAATTAACAACACATCTGCTGCTGTCTACACCAGCAATCAGGTAAATTGTAAAAAAAAGGAAAGAGGTTGTCACTTATGGTATATATATGGCTGGCCTAATTTACCAAACATTTTTTGCCAATTGATCAGATTCCCACTTTCATGCTCCACTTATCTGATTGTGACAACAAATAAGCATGCATCAAAGAGGATGTCCTATGAATTCAGCAGTGGCTAATACTCTAACTACCTTCGACTCTTTCTTTTTCTACTCTGATTTTTCTAATACCAAAATCCATCGGGCATTCCTGCATTTGTAGACATGGTTTGTGATTTTTTTTTAATTACTTAATATTATATATACAATCATCTAAGCTGTAGCTATTGATGTTACATGCAAATATTTGGCTCGCATTCTACTAATCCTAGATCATTCCTCTAAATCCCAAAACTCTATTTCATTATCTCAGCAATTGAAGTCATGGGAAACAAAGGGGAGGCACTGTTTTAACTAAAACAAAGCTCATTTTGATAGAGAATCAAAAGGCATACAAAATCATCAATGCTGCAACTATTGATGTTACATGCAAATATTTGACTTGCACTCCCCTAATCCTACATCAATACCATAAATCCTGAAATTTTATCTCATTATTCATCAATTATCATGGGGTCTTGAAAAACAAAGAAAGTGGAGCCATTATTTTGACTAAATTATTTTCACAAAGGTGGTTTTGATAAAAGAGTCAAAAGACACGACATAAAGGTTGAACCCAAATAATAAAACAATAACAGGTTCAGAACCACATCATCAATACAAGACAAAACAACATCATGGCATCTACAACTATTCATAACAGAGATAAGAAACAGAATATTTCAGTGTGAGTTTAATAGGATGTCACCTGCAGTGTGATTGAAGTAGGATGTTACTTTGGTGTGCTTCAGCAGGTCTAAAAAATTAACATTAGGTTGATATCTTAAATGAATCTGGATCAACTCAGTTCCTTTGTCATCCATCAAAGAAGAAACATATATAAATATTTAGATATGCACTTTCAGTTCAATTTGCCATTTTCACAAGGCCAAAAAATGCATGTGCATAAACAAATATTGTCCTTTTTATCCTATGATTATAATAAGGCCGCAATTATCGTTCGCAATTGTCTGCCATAATGAAGGCCTGAAGGGTACTTCAATCTGCTGTAAAATTTCAACTTAATGTTCATTTCTGGCATTTTATATCCTCAGAAATCTAATCCTTGCAATACTCAATGTTTCAATGTCCTTGAAGAAAGGAACAATCCAAAATCAGGGTCTTATATAAAACAACTCCAGATAAGTAATAACATCAGTGAGAACCAGAACAGATAAAAAATCCCACTGAACTTTCAAAATAAGTTGGTCAGTCAAATAAAACCTCCAAAAATGATGGCACTAAACACCAGTTCAACATGAAGTCTTCACTACAATTGCAGTAGAAAACATGACATTCGAGATATTCAGTAAGCATGACAAAGAGGTGAAAAGTAAAAGTGTTCTGTCTGTCTCTGAAAGGTATTCATATAAAATTTGAATGAAAAAGGGAACTGTTTTCACTTTACCTTTCCTTGTTGATATGCCTTAGAACCAGCAATTTGAATCTGAGATGGGATGGCAAAAAAACCCGAAAGCCACGAGACCTTCTCGAGCCTGCACTTGAGTTCATTTTCAATCTCCACAAGTTGTGACTCACAGCCTGGTTTTACCCTTTTGATATGAAACATATGTAGCCCATAGTAGATAAATCTTTTAAAGAATAATGAGAAGAAAAATGAAAAGCATGATACCGATGATGCTAGTAAAGATACTTCCTTGCTCAGATGGAACAAGAATTCAAAGTCATGTTAGTCAATAAGGACAACTATTTCTTCTTACCTTATGTAGCGTGGAATTGTTTCTATCATGGCATAAATCGATGGGTCCAATCCATTTTCCTCCAGAAAGTGCAGAAAAGAACGAGGCAATGATAAGGAGAGACCTTTCTCCTGATTATGAACTGATGAAGTTGCCTCTATGGAACCCATTCGACAGTACATAAAATCGCAGAAGCATCTGCTTCACAACCAACAATAAAAACTGCACATTATTGTTAAAACTAATAAAAAAGCACCTAAAACCATCAGACTACCATGGTTTGGATCTTTTAAGGAATTGATTCTACATTGATGCACTAAAGTTTACCAATTTATACGAAACATTACATGACCACATTCACATCTTTTCTTGACAACAAAATAAACAATTAAAATGGTTTCTTTAAAATTCTAGCAGCCTTGATCAATCTAAGATTGTAGTGAGGAATGCACACAAAAAAACACATTCACATCTTTCTTGAGGAGAAAATGAGAATTATCATGGTTTCTTCAAAACCCTAGCCGCCTTGCACAATCAAGGATCGTAGTACAGAATGCAAAAAAACAACAACAAAACAAAACACACCACAATCACATCTTTCTTGAAGACAGACGAGAACTTTATTGGCTCCTTCAAAACCCTAGCGCCCTAGTGCAAACACACAACACTCGCATCTTTTTTTAGGACGAACCACGGTTCCCATAGTTTCTTAAAACCCTATTCGATTTGCACAATCGATGACTATAGTGTAGCCAACAAAAAAACCCAATACACTATCGAAAACCAAAAGCGTACCTCTTGCCCTCTCAAACGACTCTAGGATTTGCACTCGGCTTCCAATCGACAACTCCGCCTCCAGACCAAATTGAAGAGGGAAGAGACGTCGAATGGTGGCGCTCCGCGGGAGACGAGCAAAGGAGGTGGGCCGGCCCAGACCCAACTCACTCATGATCGTCCGACAGCAGCTACTCAGATGATCCAAACCGTTAATCTTTTGCCTTCGTGGCATTTTGTCTTGCTGACCGTACGCTTTACTCCTGATGCGGGTGTGTGATCGAGTCATTTTAAATCAGACCGCCATTCGTCGGTCGGTTAAATTCGATTCGAACCGATCGAATTAAATACAAGCCGGTCTAGACGAACCGGGACGACTCTGCAGCTCTCTTTGGACGGACCATAAAATAAGAGAGGACGTGTCAACGGTGAGCTTACCGTACGTCAAGGGGACGATTAAGTGGCCTAGAAAGGATCTTTTTGGCGGTCGAATCATTCAACTTCCGCGTTCTTATTCTTAGATGCGGTGAGTGGAACCTAACAGACCGTCATCGGGCGTAACTAACGCTGCTTACTTTTGTCATGTGGTCTAACAGGGAGTGCGTGTGGACCCTTGATTTCGTGATGAACGGTCAATTTATCTTTGGACTGTCCACTTCTACTCCTATTGCACTCACAACCTTTAGATTCATAGATGTATGCCATGCGTCGATACCGTATTAATGCACTATACTATGATGATTCTTATCTATAGATCTTATAGATAACAATTGGGTGATATAAAACATAAATAAATTTATGAGAGAGACCAAATTGGATTCGTCAAAATGACTTCAGCCAAATTTAGCCACGAAATGGAAAACGACTCCTCCAATCCCTCCAAACCGAGCCTTTGATTTATTTTGACTCCCAATAATAGGCTTAGAGAATTAAGAACACAAGTCATATTAGCTGTGGGCTCATAGGAAGCTTAAATTTGTCATGTTCCGAAACTACCCCTACCCCCATTTTTAGTCTCCTGTTGATAATTGTGATGGCAATTTTGGAAATAAATTGATCGATTAAGGGCGTTAAGCTAACCACGTCGCTATAAAGATCCTCCCGTCGTCTTCGTGGGAGAGCAAGTCAGTAGGAGTCTCGGGAGCACAAGCGCAAGCGCGAGCCAAGCAACGTAAGAGAGGAGATGGCCGGAGTGCAGTTGGCATCCTTCTTCTTCGAGGCGGCGCGAGGGGCTCCGCGGTCGGCGAAGGCCCCGTTCTCGGCGGTGGCGCCGTGGCGGCCCGTGGCCGGCGCGAGGAGGCGAGCCCGCCCGGCGGCCGCGCTCGACACGATTCAGGAGGAAGAGTACTGCTCGGATCCATTCGAGACGTCGACTGCGGTCTCGATCGGGGCTTCACGGTGCTTGGCTGTGTTGTCTTCTCGGTTTCGAGCGCTTGCGGCGCCTTGCCTTCATTCTTTTCCTTCTTCTTCCTCTTCTTCTTCCCGTGTTGTCTTTCTCGTAGTTTTGGCATGGCTTTTGAGGATTTACATGTAAATCGCAACCTTACGTGCAAACTCTCTTCGTTGGATCAGTTGAGGTTTAGTTCATTGTTCTTGCTTTCAGTGTTCTCTCCTCCATCGCCACCACTCTATCCAACATTACAATCCTTCTTTGATAGATTACCAACATCATAGTACTAACTCATGATGAAACAAATCGCATGGATGACATCCTTTAAGTCTATGAACAAAGAGATCGCAGTTGAACATTGCACACAATGCTTATGGTCCCATAAGCTTCACTCATATGACATCAAGTGTAACAATTTGATATCCTTCAATCATCTCACTTAACAGAAGTTACGCCAAAGAGGGACATCCAAGCAGAGCTTGAGGACCAACCTCAGTGATATGACACAGCTATATCCCTGTAGAAGTTTCATTGCACATAGACAAAGAATAAACAGCTTACATTTTGACATCAATGAATGCTTGAGATGAGAAAACATATTCATGATGCTTGCTTATTGTCACATGGAGCTCGATGCATCGAGAAGGGTCTCCAGGATGCTTAAGGTGACATAACCCCTATGCAATTACAATCACTGGAACCTAAATACCGAAGAAAAGTTTGATCACGGATGTAGAAGCCTTGAAGAAAGGTAGTCCACGAATAATGTGTGATTCTTACTTCAAAGTCGTACGCTAGAACTCATAATGAAATCAGTATGCTCCTCTTCCTTCTCTTCCTCGTACTCGTCCTCCTCGACATCATCATCATCATAATCATTGTCATCATCATTGCCAAGATCAGTAAACTTGCTTGCATTTACTACCAAGTGACCAAAAGCAGTTAGGTCTCTTCCAGAATTGGTTGTTTTTGCACACTTCAGCTGCTCTCCATGCTCATCATCACCGACAAACTCAGTGATCTGACTGTCCTTTGGTGAATCATGTAAACTAACAGAAGGATTTCCCACCAGCTCGTTGGCTTCCTTCTGTTCCTCTGGTGTCTTGGCCAAAGATAGAAGGATGTTTTTTGCCTTCTGATCAGGTGGGAGTCCATGGGCACTCATCTCTTTAAACCAGATTACAGAGCTTCCGAAATCAGAGTTTTTGCCATGGGCATCCATGATTGTTGTATAGATGGTCTGATTGGCTTCAACACCTTGCAAACGCATTCTCTCATATACACGCATTACTTTCTCAAGATTATTCAATTTTGCATAACCTTTCATCAGTGTCCCATAGACAACAACGTTGGGTTTCAAACCATCTTCCTTAATACGACGGAAAAACTTCTCAGCTCCATCCATATCAGATGCATTGACATAAGCAGATAGCATTGTTGAATAGGAACATAAGTCAGGTTCATACCTGCAATATTTTATAAAGACATTAGTAATACAATCTATGTAGCTATATTTCTGTGATAAGTTACAGTAGAGAAAGGAAAAGGTTATACTTGTCTCTTCTCATACTCTTGAACACTGTCCGAGCTTCATCTACCATTCCAGAGATTGCGAACGCATCAAGCAAGATGTTATATGCTTTCCGTGTTGGCCTGAAAAAAAAACACAAAAGGATCAACTGCCAATATGAAATATAGGACAAACAGGATATGCGTGGTTGATGTTTTACAAAATAACTCCAATAAACAACAAAGAAACATCTCATTCAAAATTCAGGCACATCATCACCCACATTTTAATGCACCCTATAGCCAATCTGTAGCCTTTTGCTCCACCACTAAATGCCAAGCCATTCAACATGCTTACATTGTTCATCCCAGAGAGAATTCCATTATAGCCAACAGACATTTGAGAAGGTGTACAATCAAATAAATTCCTTTCATCCTTTGATCATTAATTAATCATTGTTTGCCTTCAGAGTGCACTGTCCATCATGGACTAACAACTTGTGGTTTCTGTCTGACTTCTGATACTCTGGACACTTTCGCAGGGATTGTTGTGACCACCAGAAGGTTCCAAGTCATATAATTTATAATCATAATAGTACCAATAGTCATCATTTAGTCACTGGCTTTGGAAAAACTAAAGTCAATATAAATGTGATAAATGTTTTAAGAATACAAATCAATTTTTTTTTTTTTCTTATCCTTTACTTATCTAGCAAGGACGATAATGGAAGAAGACTTTCTTGTGAGCAAACTAGTCATTTATAGACTTCCACCGGAAGTTCAGCTATCCTTTTATTCATTTACTTCTACTATGATTACTTCTATCTACAATCAATCAAACTAGTCATGCATGACACCAAATCATTAATCAGTTAAACTACTTTATTTCAATAACAAGTACAAAACTTATCAATCAATAAAAACTAAAAGGGGCCCAGTGGACAAGGCTCTCGCTAAGTCCAATATGTGGAGCTTTTCCTTATTGCGGATAAGTTATTTTTGTGACTCAGTATTTGACAACCTTACCATGGTGCCCAATAATGCCTTCATCAAGGAAGAAGATTCAACCTATTGAATCCAGAAGACTTTGATTTTGAGTATTGATAACCAGGATTATGAACTGATATTTTAATAATTAAAAATGATAATTATATAGATAACATATCAATTAACCTGAGAAAAAGGTTCATAAAATTTGGAAATACAATAACCACAAAAGAAAAATGATCACCTGACACCAGCATCAAGCATTTCCTCGAAAACGGCCAATGCTTCTTGTTCTCTTCTGGCCTTTCCATAAGCACTGATAAGCAATGCATAGCTAACGACATCTGGTTTGACTCCAGCTCTTTGCATCTGGATGGGATATTACTTTTAGAATTTCAGTGATGATAACAATATAAATTGAAACATGCTAGAATGTAATCACATGTCTGTTGCAGGGTGTGAATAAGCTAATATATTTTCTATTATGAATTTCCATTATTCTCATCACATAAAAAAAAATATTAAGTACTAGCAACCAATAAAGTAGATCATTTGTCATTTGGCTATGCCATTACGGTAATCGTCATAAAGAATTCATCCTTGAAAATATTTCACTAGTAAAAAAGACGGCAAATCCAAGGCCATCACAGAAAGGAGAAAAATTTGAAGGCAGAAAATTTTGAGGAAACCTTGTTCCTGTGGAAATAAATATTGCTTATTATCCTTACATTTTCTTCTTTCATTTGATATATTTGCTCTGTACTTGCATATATCCAGCTATATATGTTTCTGTATAAGACTTTCACTAATTAATATCTTACTTGGACATTGACAAGTGGTACATTCAAATTTTGCTTGATTTTTGTAAAAAAAAAAGCATGATTAGCTACTTTCAAAGCTAATTTTCTGTGCAGTTTGATGACCATTGGCTAACCTTGATAAATGGCCGAATATGAAATAGCATACAGGCTGAAGATCAGCTACACAAGGATATCTGAAAAGATAAAAGAAAAGGCAGGCAGAATATATGTAATGTACCTTGTCATAGATTCTTGAGACCTCCTTGTAATCTGTTTCGAATGACATCAGGCTATTATATGTCACAGTAGATTGGGGGATTCTTCTCTCATCCATCAGTGCAAATGTCCTACGGGCTTGGTCATAATTCCCAGCTTTCTTATACATGTAAATCATCATATGGAACATTTTTTGGTCTGGCTTAAAAGAAGATCTTTCTTCATTTAAAAGGCTTTCAAAAACAGATTCAGCTTCCTTAAACATGTCACCCTGCCATCCATTAGCTTATGTTATGACAATCCAATTTCATATATGGCATACTCCAAGTTAACAACATTCAGGATCACAGATATAACATCCTGATGCATGGATTTTAAATGACAAAATCCATGTGCAGATGGTATGTAACTCGATATTTCTTCCACTCCAATACATAAAATTCATACAAGAAAACTGTTGAAAGCATCAAACTTAACATTGTTGGTAATTCATATTTGTTTGTTTTAGGTGCTGTTCAAGTGGAATTGGATCTTGAAATCCTTTTAATTTTCCTCCCGGAACATAGAGAACAGTACTTTATACAGCCACTTTTTTGTCATGCTAAAATAACATTTAATCATTTAAGAGAATCATATATCATGGCAAGGCATGTCTTAAATTACACACAGAGAAGATTGGTGGAAGAATAATGGAAGTCTTGTTATTTCAACTTAAACATGGATATTAGGTAAATTAATATGCATGAATAGGAAGAAATTATATGAGCATAACAAGACAACAATTGAATATTACGATCATGAGAAATATACACTGGTAACAGTGAACCAAGCAATCAACAGTTTTCATATTTGTGCAAAGCAACTAAAACTCATACATTTTTGGGTTGACTAGTATCAACATGCTCCTAATAAAAAATATTCACACCGATTCCAGTTGTTAAAAGACAAATGTGATAGAATATTTCTCATGTAAATTTCGAATGTTAACTTTTGCATGTAGAAGAAATGCTTTCTTTAATTTGTCCCAGAAACAAAGGCCAAAGTCTTCATTCATTGAACTTACAAGCCTAGCCCAACTGATTTAAAGTTGAACAATAATGTTTAGAACAAAAAAAGAACTCACTTCTTGTATTTCAGATGAAGGTAGTAATTAATGTATATGCATATAGCATAATAAATTAGCACAAATTTGACCTGCTTAATAATCGCATCAAGACTTAAAATCTTAACTGAACCACCTTGATACAGGTAACATGACTATTCAGCATACCAGATTAAGTCTAATTGGGTCAGATCAGGACAAGGATCATGTGAGTTACCCACCCTTTACACACACCAGAAACCAACAAGTATGACATGATGAAACAGATTTTTGACCTATCTACCTGATCACAACACAACATAAAAGGTTAAACCAAATTAATCCCATTTATTGAACTTGAACCCTCACAAATTCAGCAATTCAATTTCACCATGTCAGCTTCACTCATACAAGCTCACCGTAAACTGGATATATTTTAATGAATTTGTGACCACATGGTTGGTAGTATCACTTAATTGCTGCTACTAATTACAGGTTGTAAACTTGATTGCCTATAAAATTAACCCTGGTTGTCTATAAAATTAGATAGACATGCCAACAAAAACTGATTGAACTCACGTAAGAAGTATGAATTAAATAATTTAAGTAAACAAAAACTCACCTCAACAAAAGTTTTAAGAATTATTTGATATGTCACTGGTGATGGATCGGGGCCTGCTGACTGCATCCGACGGAATATTGCTTCGGCTTTGCTGAACTGACGAGCTCTCCCATATGCTTCCATCAAGGCAGTATGAGAAATCACACTAGGAGAGTAACCTTTCTTGTTCATATACTTTAGAACTCTCTCTGCTCTGTTGAAATCTCCTAGCTTCCCATAAGCCGTAATAAGCATCAAAAAATCCATCTCACTGAAATCCCACCAGTGTTGACTTCTAAGCCATTCTAGAATCTGACATGAGGGTTTGTGAACATGAAAGATTCAGAATGGATCACGGATGCAGTTCAGATTCCAATAATTGAGTAAAGACATATACATAATAGTAGTCCCTCTAAGTCATCTGAAAGATAAACAATCATATCGCACACAATACCCCTCAAAATGATGTTAATAGAGTTCTTGCAACTGAAGTGTAGCTTATTATTCATTTTAGAGTAAATTTAATAACAAAAATAATATATATATATATATGACATCATAAATCCACTCCAAGGAGAACAGAAAATGATAATAATTTTTTTCTGTGAAATGTGGTGGAAAGACCAATACCTCACTGACAAGGCCCCATTTCTTTAGCTGCTTAAATCTTACAAGGGTACCGAGAACAAGATCTCTAGGAAGTGCATCCATTTTAGCCCTCTGGGTTTTCAATATCGGCACAGCTGAACCTAATTCTTCTATCTCCTTCATCAACTTCCTCCAATTTTTCTGCTCAGCTTCATCAGCGGCATCCTTAAAAATTTCCACCTTCTTCCTCCTCTGCATGAACTTTCTCGGTGTCAACATGGCATGACAAACTATCTCAAAACTTCTTTTGGTCTTGACATCCAGAGGACGAAAACTCCCAATCACAAGTACCTTTGTTTTGCTAGAGACACGAAGAAAACAAAAAATGAACTTTTATTATAACAAACTAATATTATTTACAGAAACAAAGGAACAAAATCAAGTTAAGATTTTAACTTCGGCTAAAGGAAAACAACATCCATTTTTCTATAACAATCCAAGAGATTATACCAAAAAAATAACTTTTAGGTCAAAGAACTTTTACAGGGATTGGGAAATCTATTCCATTTATCTACGATAAATCCAAGAGATCGTTACAAAGCTCAACATTTAAGGGAAAGTGCTGTCCATATAACCAAAACAAAACACCAGCGAATAAGAATGAACCTTGAAACAAATTAAATCAAAACGAAAAGAAAGTAAGAAAGAAAGAACTACTGGCTTCCAGTATGAAACACCACCACGCGACCTCGAACAAAAAATGGTTATTTTCACGGAAAACCCAACTCCATCAGAAACATAGACTACGGTTCGTCTAATACACATACACAAGTCGAATCGATCACGAATCTCGGTGACCAAGAACTCCGCAACAAGCCGTGGGTTGCCAAATCGTTCTGAATGGAAAACACAGGGAGCTTACCAAAGATTACACGAGAACGAGAGCAAAGAACGAGACCCGATTGCTTCCATTAATGCTCGCCAACGAGCGGGCGAGAGGGACAGAGGCGCCGAGAGGGAGAAGAGGGAACGAAACGCCTTATCGGCTTCAGTCGAAGGCCGCACGCTCTAAAACCCCCGATACACCCCCGTGTGTCTCATACGTGCGTGATTCGGATCCAACGGTTATAATTAGATCGGGCCTATTTAACCGACCCGAACCGGATTTGTAGGATCGGGCTCGAATCGAGCTCGGATCGAAAGGACTTCAATCGATTTAAGAGTCGATTTCATCCATAATCTACAGTGTGTTCGGTGCATATATTACAGTTGTATCATCACAATCGAACTACATGGGAAATATTTCGGCCAATTTCGCCGGAATTAGCATTTGGATCCATTCCAATTGGTTCCTTTGATGCTCGAGAGTTGGCCGTCGCTGACCGGCGAACACCGTACGCTTCCTTGAGACGAAGTCTAGACTGCTGCACCGTCGTAAGGGGGGGAGGAGTCGACCGCCCTCGTCTTCCTGTTCTGCAGAAACCTCTGCAGCGACCGCTTCATCGACAGGCTTCGGTTCAGCACCCGCGGCGGCACCGGTGCAGGTGGAGGAGGGAGGGAGGAGGAGTCGGGTCTCCGATCGCTCTGCTTCTTCGCCTCGGCGTCCTCCGTCTCTCGCTCGGCCGCGCTTATGATCGCCCTCGCCTGCATGCAACACGACACCTCTCGGTGGTGAGCTCCGCCGTCTCGGGTCGCTCCGACTGTCGAAGACCTACCTGAACCTCCGTGACGTCGCAGACGCACATCTGGCCCTTGTAGAATATGGTGATCGGCTGCTGCGCTGCTGCCTTCTCCTCCGCGCTCCTGCAAACACGAGAAGAACCATGGCGCCGAAACAACAAGCTCGAAGGCAGAGCGAACGTGAACGTACGGGTAGGTACCTGCTGGAACCGGCAGATACGTCGGAGCCGTGATGATACACGCCACCGGGGCTCAGGCTCAGGCTGAGGCTGAGCTCGGTGTCACAGCGGTCGACGCTGCCTAGCGATACGAACAGCAGCAGCAGATCGGTGGCGGTCATGGCGGAAAGATCAACGGTCGCCGATAAGAGGGCTGGTACGCCTCCCCGCACACAGTCCTTTATAGATCGAGAGACAGAGATAGAGAGAGAGAGAGAGAGCACGAGTTCCTCGTGTGTGGGACAAGTAGGAAGGAGGGGCGCTTGCTTTAAGGTTCTTTAATGGCTATGTTGCTGCTACATGTAGCTCTCCTCGCAGCTTTGGTTTTTCAATATTACTGTTCCACCATGTTTGGAGTGGCAGACACAGTACGAGCAGTTAGTTCTACGGACGTTGATTTTTCTTGGAGAAGATTAACGAAAACCATACACAAAACATGACGAAGAAGAAGAAGACGAAGACGAAGAAGAACTCCAGATTGGTTGGAGGTGGAGATCATAAATGCAAAGGACACCATATATCGAATATTTTCTCTTCTCGAGTACTGTAGACGGCGACGTAAATGCAAAGGACACCTCAATCCAAATCACTATTATGATATAATAATCGGATATATTTTTAATATTTTTATTTAAAAAATTTTTTTTATTTTAAATTTTTATTTTAATATATTTGAATTATTTATGATATACTCGCGAGTGAACTAAATATTAAGATCATCCACTTTCGATGTCATAATATTAAGATTATTTTTTTTATAAAAATAAATATTTTAATATTTTAATATTATATGATATAATTATCGAGTATAGTTTATCATTATCATACGTAATAAAAACTTCTATCCATTACGATTTATTATTCATGGAGTAAAAACAAAACAATAGGTTTTTGCTAAAAATAAATAAAGGGCCAAACTCAAATCGAGAACAAATGCGATCTCAGATATTTTATTTCTGCAACACAACCTCGTGTTGTGAACTCTTATTTTCTATTATTTATGTGTGGAGTGTTCCCGGACGATTACGATTATGAAATGACTTTGACACCGAATCATGTTCTATCATCAGCCTCATACGCATTCCTTTCCTTGAGATCAAATCGAGCAACTTCTCACGACGTGTTGTGAGTCCCCAAGTACAACTCACCTGAAAAGAAAACACTTTCTCGGCTCGGTGTCGCCCATCGGGAAACCAAAACAAAAAACAGAAAACAAAAACATGTTCTACGTATCACCACAAGCCTTTTTATGGCCGAACACAATGAATTAGCGACAAAATAATTATTGTTTCTCCCCTTTTATTTCTATTTAAATAATCATCAATGTGATTTATGATTACGTAACGACAGATCATAAATCGATGGAGATTCATATGTCACATCATGTCATATATTTCTCTAAATGGGTGACTCAAATCTGATGAATGAGTTTGCTCCCCGTTGTTAAACAATGGGATGGGATCGAATATAATATCACAGAAAATTATGTTAGGATCAAACTTTGGTATGTAATATCACAGAAGAGATGTTGAGATCATTCAAACACGAATAACAATAATGGATTGCTTTGGGATGGTGGGTTGGATTCTTCCTGCTCCCATGTCACGAGTGACGAAGGCAAATGTTGTGAATCATTTTAAAGCAGAAGACTCCAAAGTGCCACGTCTTAGATGGATAATAAAAGAAGAAAAATAGTTTGAATTGTTTTTTTTATGGAGAATTAGGATTCGCAAAAGAGTGGATGATTTAGGAGACTTGTGGGGGAGAATTTTTAGTTTTTAGTTAAGGATTGTTACTTAGTCAACTTAATAGGCATCAAATCAGAATTCCATGTTGGTAATGGTTGAATGATAGACATATATCCAAGCATGGATAATTGCATGATAGTTACGACTCTCTCTCTCTCTCTCTCTCTCTCTCTCTCTCTCTCTCTCTCCTCGTGTGGATAATTGCATGGTGGATTGACAAGACATCTATCCATGCGGTCAGCATAATGTTAGGCAGTTGATAGTGAGCACTGCACATCCACTTCGATGTTTGCATCATCTGATGTCCCATAACTTTTTAAGTGTTTATACGCAATAGTATTGACAAAAATATTAAGATATGTATTATCGATTTAACTTCTTATTTTTTTTAGGCATCTCTTACTCATACATATAGGAGAATATAAATAAGATGATGTCAGTTAAGCTTATGGATTAATTCACTTATATTAATAAATAAATTAAAAAAAACTTACATAGTGTCTTAAGAAAAACGTCATATAGTTCTTTAATGAAATAATCAAAGATGACACATCGAGATGGTGACATCATTAATAATATATCTGAAAAGATCATTAAAAAAAATTATTCTAATTAGTCAAATTTTATGAAAGTTGGCGAACTATGTCGGATGATAGCGATGACGACGACGATAAAGATGATGACGTGAGTGTTAATTATTTAAAAATTTATTTTTTTAATCTAATAATAACAAGGATTGATTGTAGTTCGTTTGAGTTTATAGAATGGATGTTAGCGATTTTGTAAGTCTATAATTTTTTAGGGTTTTATGAGAAATATAAAAATGTTGAAGGATAAATATGTAAAACTAATTTTCTTTTCTTTTGTCTCTCTCTTGGTCCATTTAAATTAAATTCAAATAGTTATTAAAGCACAATTCAAATGGGCACCAACGAGAAAGCATATATCCAAGTTGAATTTTGAGTGAGTTCAAATCCCCAACACTGAATTGAGTTCCAAACTAACGTAGTGAAATTTGTGGGAACATTGAAACACACTACATTTTATTTAAGCTCAAGGAGTACAAATGTTGTTTCTTTCCCTTGTCATTTGTCCCTATCGACTCTATTTTCTATTCTCTATATGTAATATTATTTTTTAATTAAAATTATATTTATTCATTCAAAATATATAAATAAATATGTTTTTTTTATAAAGGATAAATAATAAAGACGGGATTGAAGCCTAAGACCTTATTTTAAATTATCAATATCTTTACTAGCTAAATATAAGACTAATTATATATTATCAATATAATTAGATATCTTTAGTATTCCGATCCATATATTTTCAAAAGTTATATTGAAATCTCTATATATAGAAAAGTAAAACATTTAACCTCGTTGCTCTAACAAAACATCTTTAACTTAATTTTTAACCATATAAAATTATATTTTTAATCGAGATTTTAATGTTTCACCGAGTATAGGAATCCTAATGTAATCTTTGAAAATATAAAGATCGAGATGCTAAATATAATTAATTATAAAAACTAATTTATAATTAGCCTCTAAATTTACTGACGCCTTCGATTAACCCATATTTGCTTAAATAATCTAGAAAGAAATAAAAATAATAAACATAGAGGTAAGGGAGCTGTGTTATTTGGGGGCCATCCAATCTAGGATGAGATTAAGCTTCACAACAGTGGATTGAGCCCAACTTTAACAAACATATTCGATAAGGAGCCATGCCTATTGCCTTTTTAATAGTCAGATGACAAAATGATGCATATGGTATTGTCAGTTTGTAATTTGGATTTATGAGACGCGTATGAAACACCTACAATATTAGTTAGTATAATAGAGATGTATTAAGTTTGCTATCCAAATATCGAGGATCTAATACCTCATCCGACCATTGATACCTAATACGTACCATCACCTTCGAAAGATCGAAAGTTGGAGATGTCATTGGGATGAATTTTGAAGGACTGGTTTAACTAATGAACACTCCCTACTAATGATAGTAAGCTCATCAGTTATGAGGAATCCGCTCCTGATTTGGAAATCCCACCGTATTATTGGTTGATTATTATTATTAATTGATTTGATTGTAATTGACAGCTACTCCACTAAATCGCATTGATTGATACTTTCCCCCCGTATTACCGTTTTGTGCTACCATCCAAGTATGCACGTGTATATATACGTACCCCTCTCTCTCTCTCTCTCTCTCTTTCTCTCTTGTTTGGTTTCGCTTTGCTTGGCTTCGGATGATGATGCCAAGAAAGAGGAAGACGAGCATGGGGCGCCAGAAGATCGAGATCAAGCGCATCGAGAGCGAGGAGGCGCGGCAGGTCTGCTTCTCCAAGCGCCGCGCCGGCCTATTCAAGAAGGCCAACGAGCTCTCCGTCCTCTGCGGCGCCGAGCTCGCCCTCATCGTCTTCTCCCCCGCCGGCAAGCCCTTCTCCTTCGGCCACCCCTCCGTCGACTCCATTGTCGACCGCTTCCTCTCCCGCGGCCCCGCGCCGGCTCCGCCTCCGCCTCCTCACCCTCTCCCTCTCCCTCTCCCTCCCCACGCGGCGGCCGCTTCCGCCGACCGCCGCATGCTCGTCCCCGCGCGGCCGTCCGCGGTGCACGAGCTTGACCGGCAGTACTCGGAGCTGACCGAGCGGCTCGAGGCGGAGAGGCGGAGGCGGGAGGCGCTGGAGGCCGCGCTGAGGGGACAGCGGGGCGCCGCGGCCCACCTGCTAAACGCCAACGTGGAGGAGCTCGGGCTGGCGGAGCTCGAGCAGCTGCAGGGCTCGCTCGAGAGCCTGCGGTGGGACGCCGCCCGGAGGGTGGATCAGCTGGTGTTCGAGGCGCAGACGAGGAGCCTTGTCATGGCCGGAGACGCCGGTGGCAGTGGCTTCGTCGCTACTGCCGAGGGGAGCATGGTGATTCCTCCTCACGGTGGCTTCAACTATGGCTATGGCTCCTTCTAACTGCTGGTCTGGTAGTATGGTTTAGCTTCAGTTCTGTTTCTGGTGTCTGCAATAAAACGATTGCAACAGATTCAACAAACTCTTTATAGACCGTCTTCTCAGTCTAGTCTGTATAAAATGTCATGCAGTTTAATCATAGACCACCTTTTCTTCCAAGTTAATGATCCTGAAATATATATATATATATATATATATATTGTTAGTCTTTATAGAATGATCATGCTATGCAGATTAATCAGACGCCATATATACCTGTGAGACTACAAATGGCTCTGTGAAGCAACCAATAAATTTCATCAGATAAACTGCAGTAGAACAATGTATATACAGTCAACTGTAACAAAGATATATTTGGGCTTTGAAGGAACACTAAGTAATTAGTAGTGACAAAATATGCACAGCACAGACATATTTTTCTGCGGTGTATTATTGAACCACTGGATTTGTGTACTAAGATAATTTGTTGATCTATAATTTGCTCCCTAGGAAACATGCCAAACCACATGGACTTAAGCCAATGTAGGTGTTATAGATGCCATAGGCCAACCAAAACTGAGGAACAATTTGGGAATCTAGGCATGTAAACCATTTATGTAGCCAAGTCTTGTTTGCAAGATTTATAAGCAAGTCAAGATACAAAAAAATGGAAACCTTACTCAGATATGAACTCCATAAGAAAGGAGTTACCCAAAGTTAAAAATAATCATTACAAGCCAGATTACAATGCTAACAGTATCTCAAAAGGTAAGACAGTTCATTATGAACATGTTCATTTAGGAAGATCACTTGCACAACCATGAACCAAAACTCACTTAAAATGAAAACACAAGGGTGAAAGTACAGGTAAGAGCTTGTTGCAAGTTGAATGGTAGAAGGAAGTTGGAAATAGCAGTCAAGAGATAAAATCTTGCCCGTACTTCACTGCTCTACACTATACTCACTCAAGAAACTTAATAGAATCTTTTTTTCTGAAAGAATTTGTCATGCACAACAGATCCACTACAAGAACCATGGGGCCACTCAACACAAGAATATTGCATAGGCATGATAAGCGAGCTACAGAGAGAAGTTGTCATGCATAGTATGTTACAATACTAGAGAGTTGGATTAACAAGAAAGCACAAAGAAAACAATAGATCAGCAATAAAGCAGATGCCACTTCAAATCAAGCAAGTTTGGTCGCATAGATTGATAGTAAAGATTCTAAACAATGAGAACAATTGTTAGAACATCAAGCATTATACATTTTTGTTTTTTTTTTCAAGAATGTTTGGAAACTGGAACAAGAACATGATAGCACAAAGCAATAGATAGAAGAAAGTATTCCAAAACTTGTTGGCAGAAGACTCCTGTCAAAATTATATTCCGGTAGGTAGTTCACATAAAAGAACAAATAAACTACATGACTAAATTTACAATACCCAGTAGAAAAGGGAAAAGAAAACCAGCTATAATATATAATCAGATGAGAATAACCCTTGATTAATCACATTAATTGCACTACAAAGTCATTTCTGTAATCTGTATTTGTCAATAGTGCAATATCTTTTAAAAGCAAGACTTCTTGAGTAAGATAAGATGCTGATATTAAGAATTGTTCGCAATAAATAAAATTAAATGATGTCCCATTTCAGACACTTCTGTATGATTCGTAATCAATTAACGCATGGATTTCAATGTTGACATCCAACAAGTGGATAAATATTCCAACATGCATTGACACCACAGCAAAGAAGTGGCTTTCAAAGCTGACACCACAGTCATAACTAAGAGCCTAGATGAACTTGCATATTCCAATTACATAGTGGCATTCAAAGTTAGATATTAATCAATCACAATAAATATGTTAAACACACATGGAAGCCACAATCACTATTAAGATCCCACATGACCTTGCACATTCCATTCACAAAGTAGCAGTGTGGTACAGCTAGCAACACAATCCTCAGAATAAGATATGAAGTTGCATCTTAAACCCCTGACCAAACAATTCAAGAACATTCATCTCATCAAACAATCCCACAACATCCATGAGATTTAACAAATAAGCAAAAAGAACTCTTTCTTATGGAGCAAGAAGTACTTGTAGATAAAAAGTATTGAAGAGCCTAATAATATTTAACACCAACAACATTTGCTCACAGAATTCAACTCGTTTTTTCTCACAAGCAGACTGATGCTATGGCATGGGCTTCTGTTAAACAGATGTCTAAAATTACTACAAACAGATAAAACTTGCAGTAACATAAGACAAATAATCACAATAAAACTTGCAATTAACTGATAGTTTTATTTACATTGTGAGGAGGGCAGAATAATAACAATGCAACAGGAACTTTGCTTAGTATGAAGTGGGTCTTACTTATCAGAGATGGCAGCTTCCGTTGAGTCTTTATGAGTAAACACATCATCTAGCCAATCATTGTCCTACAAAAAGTGTGTTAACAGTCAAACAAGACCGATGAGTAATGAAGTCCAGTTCAAAGAGCAGCCAACAAGAGCAATAATTAGCATTCCTGTGAAGCACATAAGCAATTAATAAGCATTTAGGCACCGCTGCTACTTGCTCAAATTGTCCCAACATTGCAGATCAATGTTCCGGAAAAAGAATAGTGATGATTCACAGTTTCCAGCAAACATGATGAGAACCGAAACTATCATACAGAGAGATCCGCCTATGGATTATGGAGAGAACAAAGGTTGTGTATTTTTCTAAGGAAACATGTTTCGCATTTCCAACGTCAGATCTGCACAGAATCCGGTTTCGAATGCTTCTAAGAAAGAAGAAAAACCTAACCCCAACTCACAGGGAGAAGTTAGACTCTCGGTGTTATTAGGTCCCGATCTGTCAGAACCAAACAATTAGAGGGGAAAGATTACACAGATCTACGCACAATCAGAACCCCAACAGGTTCCTCCCCAGCTCAGTGCGCGGCGACCAGATCCACGCCGAAGGCGTCCAAGAAGGGATCGGGGAGCTCCGGGCTCGAGGGGGCGTAGATGAAGGACTTGGCGGCGGCGAGCTTCTTCCGCTGGACGAACCGCGGGCCGCGGGTCCTAGCCGCAAAGCAAGGGAGGAGCCCTTCGATCTGAGCGGCGGCGGGCGGCGACGGCCCGAGGGAGGGGGAGGAGGGGGGCGAGAGGCGGGGGAGGGCGGCAGATCGGGGGGATCTGGCGTTGCTAATCCTGGAGTCCCTGAGGCGGGCGAGGGCGCCAGGCTTCAAGAAGCGGTGGAGCCGCTCCTCGATCCGGGAGGACGAGGGCGAGGGGTTCGGGCTCCGGATCCTCCGATTCATAGGGGGGGAGAGAGATCGAAGGGCGGAAAGCGGGATCGAGGGAGAGGGTTTCGTGGGGGAGATAAGGAGGGTGGGGGAGGGGATTTAAGGGCGAGCGGGGATGCGGCAAAGGCGGGAGTTTTAAGGAGGGAACGCGATGTAGGGCTGCGTGGTATTCAATTGGAGGGCGGGACTGTTGCCTTTTTTTGCCTGTACGGTGTTTTCCGTGTGATTGTTTGCATCTTTTTCTGGCCTCATCTGCCAAAGAGGATGAAAGAGGCACGTGCGCACGTGGGCACGTGGGGATGAAAGGTGGTGAAGGCAAAAACCACTAAAAAGATGGATTAAAAATTACATTAATGTTATATTTGTGCATTATTATTATTTTGCATATGTGGGATTCATCTTAGTTGATTAAATTGGAAAATGCATTTGCTGCAGCACATTAGTACTTTTAAAGGTTCATCCCCTATATATATATATATATATATATATATATATATATATATATATATAAAGTGATAATATAATTACTTTTAAGGGATTCATTCAATTATATGTAAGGTAAGTGACTTATGATATATGTTGAATCGATATATTAGTTAAATATGAATAATATGGCATAGAGAAAGATATTGACTTGATATCGATTTCAAAATAAATTATTATTTTATAATCATAGACTCGATGAATTAGGATATGATCACATGAGTCAATACAATTCACATAATATTTTTTTTGATCATAATGACTCATAGTCAATGTGCACGGCACGGGAGTGAGTTTGCTTGATCGAGATGCGAGCCTCGAACTCTTCTAATCTAATAAAGGATAATTCGATTGATCGGACAATTTGATCAATCGAACATTAGTACAATTGTTTTGGAGGATGAGCATACCCATACAGTTTTATCTTTTCGGAGAACATATAAACTTAAAAAAACAGATACCTGACAGGCTTATGAGCCATTGATTCAGACTAAATACCTTTTGTCATATGTGATGGATTAAATGCGTGCAGATAAAACATATGGGTATCATGGACGAAGGCCCATCTGATCAGTGATGCTAGAAATTGATTGCATTTCATGTATGATTTAATGCAGAAAGTAAAAAAGTATCTCATTGGAAGACTATGAATACAATTAGAGATATTTCTATAATAATTACTAATTTTGGGGAATTTTAATGCACACGCAATTATAGAGAATGTGATGAGACAGTACGTTCGGCTGCTAAAAATGGTCCAGACGAAGATTCCCTGTGTGATTCAGACAGGATTTACGGTTTTCTTACGTCACCTTATCTCATGGACCACAACGCTCGGAACTCGATCGAGCCTAGCCATGTTCGCGAGTACCGCAGCTCGAAAGAGGCGACTACACCATTGGAGACCTTTCCGCGGGCCTTTTTTCTATCAGGGGAATTCTCCCGAGCAGCGAGGCGGCGCAAATTGCAGCTCCGCTCTCGTTCCATTCTTCCCCCTTCTCATACCTCGCCTTTTCTCCGTGGATCGGTTGAACGCGGATGTCGAAGCTCTTCTCCAAGTTCTTGGGGTTCTTCAGCTCCCGGACGCTGGTCGGCGTCGACAAGGTCGGCAATCGCTACTTCACCCGCGTGGAGGAGATCGACGGAATCAGTAAGCCAACCCTAAATCTCTTTTTCTCGCTTGGTTCTCGAATTGATTAGCGATTACCATTTCGAGGTAATGGTTTATCCACAAATTGCACCCAGGAGCTCTTTTGATCTGGTGTACATGTGTTATGAAGCGATCGACAATCTGTTAAACAAATAAGCCAAGGCTTGTTGTTGACGAAATTATAATCTTAGATTCCGTAATTATACACCGAAGACATTTATACAAGTTGCAACTTTTGCATATTTTTTGGAGAGGGTCACTACGGTTAATTTGAATCCTTATCCAGATGTCCAAACAGTAGAATGACAAATATGAAAGCCAAATATTTGGTGAATTATTAGATATCCACAATCCGTTGGCTTAGTAGACATGCAATTGTGTGCAAACGACGAATGCAAAGAAGTTGATGCTCAAATGCAATGAAGTATCTCATGCAATTATACAAGCTTGCAGTAGTGTATGGACCTATTATCAGATTTTGCTACACATACATAATGTAATCACAAGAAAAACTTGAGATAAAAATTTTGTTGAATAGAAGGGATGCATTCTGTTTCTCTAAAATTGTGAAATAGCAGATGCATATCTTGTGCCCTAATCAGTGATTTCCTGCAAATCAAGTCTTAGATTTGCTGCTTAATAAATATAAGATACACAACAAAGAAAATATTCTGGCAGAAGAAAAATCTATGATGTAAAAGAGCATATCAGAAAAAATATATGGTAGAAAAAGGGATCAGGCAACAATTTGTGGTTTAATTATTAGTAGAGGGAAACATGGAAGTGGTTAAAACAAGGGTCCCCATGCAAACAACTGAATCGCTCTTGATTTTTCTTTCTTTTCCCCTTACTGGAGCCAAAATTCCCTAGATGCATAACTTATTTGTCACAAGGATAACTGTTGGCAGAGGCACGCTATTATTATGCAAGGATACTAGGGTTCTATTGGGAGATTTTCCTCATCATGGTGAGAGTATCACGTAAGGAAGATTAAAAGAAGCTGGTGGTGGAGAAAAAGCATGACATAATCAAGAATCAGATACAATCCAATCGTTTGCTGGTTTTCCCTATCCTGCCTACGGCAAGGAGCTTTAAGAATAGCAGCAAGCCAGCAAATAAGGAAGTGAAGTGCTGCTATCACATGACATGGTTGTCGTTTGCATGAGGGGTAGAACCAGAGATCAAGACCATGAGCTCATTGAGTCTCACTTATGTTTCTTTTGGATTATTTAGATATATAAGTAGGATTTGCATTTACATCAGTGAAGTATGAAAGTCATATATATGCCTCAAAACATTAAAAATTTTGAGCCCCTCAAAACATTTAAGATTCTAAAACTTCTAGAACTTCCAAAATTTTTGGCCAACCAAATGTATTTTGCTGCATGAAACATGGATTATGATGTATATTTTCAGTGTCAAGTTTGGTTTCACTAGCTTGTAATATTCCAAATAATTAATTTGTGATTATGTAAAGGTTATTTGGCTTTTTGTACTTTTACATCAAAAGAATGTGTTTGCTTTACTATGTATACTTGATCTTATGTGGAAACTTGATCTGGGGTTGCTGTTTAACTTAGATCTGTTAGGATAAAAATATCTTTATATGTTGCATTACTGTGGTCTTAATAACAATTCTGGTAAATGAAGCTGTGTCAAGCTATAATCCATTCTTGATAAAAGCCTTCTACAGGTATAAAATGCACTTAAAGTACTTTGTTTAAAAAAAAAACACAGAGTGAGTGACATGTCCATGCCTTGTTTTCTATGTTAATTTCATTCTATCATATTACTAGTGAAGGTGAAAAGATGGGTGATTTTCAAAGGTGAGGAGGATCCCACATCCATTCCAGGTGAGTCAAATAACTATTCCTTGTTTATCTTCATATTTCAAGAACACCCTCAACCTGTTGGGAAGAATCATTTTTTGTACGTGGCCACATACATTCAGAGTTCATTACAAATGTCTTAATTTTGATAAACTAATATTGAAAGCTACTTGCTGTGTTTATGATGATTTCAGTTGAGTGGATCTGCTGGTTGAATGGCCAAAGAACGAAAGCTCCAACTCCAGAGGCAAGAGCACATAGAACTAATTTGCTTGACAGAAACAGTATTTGGACTCTTTTTGTGGAAGCTTGAACATTTTCTTTTCATCAATTAGGATACTCATTTGTTGTGCTAGAGGACTAAAGGTAATCTTTTTCCTCAGTTTGAATTGAAAGGCTAGACATGCTCATAAGTCATAACAAAACTAAGCCAGTCCACAAGAAGGTGAAGAAGGAAATACAATGATTACAAGGAACATCCAAGATTCCCTCTTTAATATAACCATCAAATGAAAATTTGTAAGATATCGCACTAAATATGCTCAATAAAGTTTGGTCCTTAAAGAATTGTATTATCATGCTTTCTGTTCTTTACCTGAATCTGGGTCTCTCAATGAATCAATAGATTGGACCTAGGTGCTAGCTTTAAACTTCACTATCTCTTCCTAACAAGGAGTTTGACCCTGCAGTGTGGCGGCATGCTGAGTGACATCTAGCATTAAACACAGTTCATTTGTCAACATAATATTTAATTGACATCAACTATAAGATTTGTTGGATTTTCAGTCTGGTTGGAAGGTCTGGGAGTAAGTAAAGACGCACATGCCAAAAAGATCCTTTGACAGATTTTGTTCTTTTGAGACAGGATCTGCACCATTTCCTCATGGGATGGTTCAGATTCTCCATTTCACTCAGTTCAGCACTGTGCCTGAATCTATATTCTTTCCTCTTCAAAACGACAAATCCTCCATCAAATTTTAGATTAAGAAAACCAACGAAAAGCCAACATTGACAATGGGGATGATTTGTTTCTATTTTTTGCACAAAACATGCCTTTTTTTTATGATAGACCATGTTCACTTGGAGCTGGATGCATTCCCTTGCTGAACCTTATTACACCTTTTAAGTTAAATCTCCATGGCAACAATTGCTTCATTTATTTCGAAACATAAACATCAATTAATACAAATCATTCTACTTCTTATCCTTCATCTTTTCTTATATATCCTTCTTCTCTTGTTGCATTTCTTTTAGCACTTGATGCATTCTAGACACATGTGGAAGAAAGTCAAATATCAAAATAGCAGTCAATTAATGTTATTGTTATTATCCTTAATATCTCCATTTGTTAATCCTATATTTCTTTATTTATGAATATCAAAATTGTGCACAAAAAATTGTCCATCATGTTTAACTGCTTATCCCTGTTTCTAACCAGTTTAATACTGTGTTTAATTGAAGCTCACAGCTACAAACTTATGATGCCTGCAATTAATCTGGTTTTAAGTGATTGGCAGAGATGATAGACAAAAGTTTCTATTTGTTTTCTGTTGTTGCCAAAATTGTCATCGTTTTCTTCTCTAGCAAATAAAAGTTAGCGTAGTGAAGTTTTCACTAACTACTATTTCATTGCCAATACTCT